TTGGGCTCACTCTTCAAGATTGTCAGGTTTTGGCGGTCTTGGAGGGGTCCCAAGCTCTAAACCTTCTCGCCTTCAACAACCCAATACCCTAAACCCCCAGGCGGAACTAACGCGAGCAAGATGAACAACAAGCAGAGGCTGCTAATTACCCCTTCCCGGTTGTCCTCCTCCCAGCACCACTGCCCGGAAACAGGGTGCCACCACCACTTGTCGACCCGGCTCTCGTCGGTGTAGAACACCCTGAGCTGTCAGGTTTGGTCGATACTTCAGCATTCCCTGCTTTCTCTAGTCTTACGTCTATTGTCCCAAAAGACGCACTGGGGCATCACTGCAAAGGCACTGATGCCCCAAAGACTTGGGGCGGGTGTCTCTATGTCTGTGTGTGTGAAGGCGACCTACAAGCTCGTCTAGCACATGGTTGAAGACCACCGATGCCCTGTCAGCTTTAATGTTGCACGGGGCTTCTGATGTTCGGGCTTGGATCCTTGCATTCAAACGCCCGTCCGGGATATCGACTCGTATGTACCTGATGACCTGCATCCTGTCCGAAACCAGGACTAACCCAAAACGCGTTGTTGGGCAATTCGGGCAGCAACGAACCCTAGCATCCGCAATCGATGATAACGTTTTGAAGCTTCAAGGTCTCAAATGAAGAACCCTTACGCGAGGGCGCGGGGGCGGGGCAGTCATGACATGATTATTATTTCGGAGTACCTCTGAATTCCAGACTGAGGGCGGGAAGAAAGGAGGGGGTGGGGGGTAGACATTGTGATTATTTAGGTACGAGCACGTGGAGGGAGGGGGGCACATCTAACATTATTTAATCATTATTTGTTTATGTGAGGTGTTGGGGTGGGGGGGGGAGTGTGGCTTAAACCGGGTCTATTTGGCAGCTGGATGTGTGTGTGTGTGTGTGTTGGCAGGAATCCAGAAACTAGCTGCCAAATAAACCCTATATGGTGTTCCAGTGTTCCTGGACCCCGGGAATTAAATAATTAAATCCGGAGGTCCTCCCAATATTTAATTTATTTAACTCGGGTCGGGAATTACATAATTTAAACAATTTACATAATTTAGGTAATTTAAATAATTTAAGTCCTGGGGAGGGGGTCCAGGGAGGGTCCGGGACCCCGGGAATTAAATGACTTAAATATTAAATCCGGGGCCCTCTCCCAATATCTAAATCCGGGGCCCTCTCCCAATATTTAAATTATCTAAATAATTCAATTTTCTGGCCCGGCCCCCTCCAGGACCCCCCTGGCTGGAACCGGGTCTATTTGGCAGCTGGATGTTGGGTTTAAGCTTTAGCGTGTAGGTATACTTGTAGGGCTTATAAGGTTTATTGGTTTGGGTTTAACGGTTTCAGGCTTTGAGATTTAGGGTTTTGGGGTTCAGGGATTGGAGGCTTTGGGGTGTATGGGCTTAGGGGTTAGGACACATGCATCTTCAAAGGACCATCTTCGGCATTGTTTCAGGGGCCACGATGTGCCTGTATACTTTCGATGTCTTCGGCTGCAACAATAACAAAGCGGATTGACAGAATGTTGACCTCGATTCCCACTGTAGCCTTTTGCACATGCACACCCCTAAGCCCAAAACCCTTAACCCCCCTGTTGTTGAGCGACTTCTGCACTGTATGCCCCCAACCTCCAAATCTCAAACTAGACCCTACACAACACACAACTCTCAGCCGTCGCCCTGGCGTCCAAACACACTATGCAGATGGGAGTGATGGGAGTTTCAGAAAATGCAAGAGCCCACAGCGGGAGCCGAGTAGTAGGTTCCCTACTGACAAAGGATCTCTCAAAACAGCAACATTTTCCTCACTTGCTTCAACCAGAATATCAGAAAAAACGACAGGGCCCTCCCGAAACCCTCAACCCCAAAGCTCTGAATTCTGAAACCCCAGGTAGCCTGCTCAGGTGCTGCTGGTACGCAAGGTGCAGCAGCGGCACGAGCGGGGGGAACAACCTGCTCGCGAATGTCATCTGCTCGGATTTTCGGTGGTCTTGTTGTCTTGATCGGCGTTTATGGGAATTTGCGGAGACGATGAAGTTTCCGTAGCCGTTTTCGGTAAAGGTTTGATTAGGTAATACAAGCTTCTTAAAGGAAGGGTACATTCTTCAGGTAAGCCCTACATTTGGGGTCCCCTATTTCTGAAAAGGAATCCAGAAAATAGCTGCCAAATAGACCCTATATGGTGTTCCAATGCTCTTGGAGCCCGAAAATTAAACAATTTAAATAAGTTAAGTCCGGGGCCCTCTCGCAATATTTAATTTATTTAAATTGTTTAATTCCCCGGCCCGGCCCCCTCCGGGACCCCCCCCTCAGGATTTACATTGTTTATTTTAAATCCGGTGCCCTCTCCCAATATTTTTTCGTTAAATACATTAATTCCCCGGCCCGGCCCCCTCCGGGACCCCCCCCCCTCAGGATTTAAATTAGTTTCTGTATTTAATTCGAGCCGGGATTTAATAATTTAATAGTGTAAATAATTTACATAATTTAAAAATCCTGGGGAGGGGGTCCAGGGAGGGTCCGGGACCCCGGGAATTAAATAATTTAAATAATTCAAATCCGGGGCCCTCTCCCAATATTTAAACTGTTTAAATTATTTAATTCCCCGGCCCGGCCCCCTCCGGGACCCCACCCCTCAGGATTTAAATTATGTAAATTGTTTGAATTATTTAAGTCCCGGCCCCAACTCCCAACCCCCACCTCCCAGCCCACCACCCCACCGCCCCAGCACCCCACCACCCCACCACCCCACCACCCTACCACCCCACCCACCCCACCACCTCACCACCCACACTGCCCCCTGCGCCCTCCCCTGCCCCCGCTTGCATGTCCCCACCTCCTCCCCATTCCCCCCCCTCTGCCCCCTACCATCTTCATCATCTCCATCATCTTCAGCATCTTCATCATCTTCATCATCTTCATCATCTTCATCATCTCCATCATCTCCATCATCTTCATCATATCCATCATCTTCATCATCTTCATCATCTTCATCATCTTCATCATCTTCATCATCTTCATCATCTTCATCATCTTCATCATCTTCATCATCTTCATCATCTTCATCATCTCCATCATATTCATCATCTTCATCATCTCCATCATCTTCATCATCTTCATCATCTTCATCATCTTCATCATCTTCATCATCTTCATCATATCCATCATCTTCATCATCTTCATCATCTCTATCATCTCCATCATCTTCATCGTCTTCATCATCTTCACCATCTTCACCATCCTATCATCTTCATCATCTTCATCAGTTTCATCGCAAGGTTGTCCCCCGGCAGGGTTTCGCGCAGAATAATTCACGGGTGGAGGGGTGCCGGGGCGGGAAATGTGTCATGTTTTTGGTGCTAGCACCGCTATAGTGACACATATTCCGCTGAAACTCTGCCATGTTTTTGGTGTTAGCAAAGCTATACTGACACACATGTTCCGTGCAAAATGTGTCATGCTTTTTGTGTTAGCACCGCTATAGTGACACGTATTCCGCTGAAAATGTGTTATGTTTTTGGTGTTAGCAACGCTATAGTGCCACATATTCCGCTGAAAATGTGTCATGTTCTTGGTGTTAGCAAAGCTATAGTGACACATATTCCGCTGAAACTCTGCCATGTTTTTGGTGTTAGCACCGCTATAGTGACACATATTCCGCTGAAGATGTGTCACGTTTTTTGTGTTAATACCGCTATATAACACATATTCCGCTGAAAATGTGTTATGTTTTTGGTGTTAGCAAAGCTATAGCGACAAATATTCCGTGGAAAATATGTCATGGTTTTTGTGTTAGCAAAGCTATAGTGAAACATATTCCGAAGAAAATGTGTCATGTTTTTGGTGTTAGCAAAGCTATAGTGACACATATTCCGCTGAAAATGTGTTATGCTTTTGGTGTTAGCACCGCTATAGTGACACATATTCCGCTGAAAACGTGTCATGTTGAGTTTAGGGATATAGGGATTTAGTGATGGTGGTCTTGGTGGTACTAGCAGTAGCAGGCAAAAAAACACAAGACAGCTTGGGCTGTATGGTCGTCATCATTTTCATTGTCACACACCAGATGGCACAGCAGGCGACCTGCAAACACAACAGCACCAGCGGCAGCAGCAGCAGTTTGGCTTGTTGGCTTGATACGCCTATAGCTATGGTTTGTTTCGAATACTCTGGTCTGCGCGGGCTTCGGATTTAAGGTGTAATGCGCACGCCCAGATCCTAGAGTAGGCATCAGGGCTGTTCGACATGTCGGGGGACGGGGCGGGTGTCCAACTCATGAAAGCCAAACCCGTAAACCCTAAACCCTGGGCAAGGTCCTTGTCGCGTCCGCAGCAGCAGGAGTTTCCCATTGCTATTGGCCAATCTCCGAAAGATGCTTTGCGAGTTCAGGATAGCGGTTCAGCGAATTCACAGGTTGCTCCCACCGTCATGTCTCTAATGCAGGCGCCTGAAGTAAGGGAATGAAATTACTAACTAGATTGGCCCCGACACTGTCGGTTTCAAGTCTTGGATTATGTAAGCTTAAAGGCTTACAACATACAGCCGGGCAAAGGAAACATGGAAATCTTCATCATCACGCTAAACCATACCACTGCTCCTTGCTGCAGCATGTTCCATCTTCGAGAAATCAAAGACTCTGTGCATCCTTCTTTTCTGCCAGCGTCAACTCTTCCGTAGCGGTCAAGGGATCCTGAAGAAATCCCTCAGCATGTCTGCTGCTTCTCGGATCAGAGACTTCCTACAACGCAGGGCCTAAAGACAGGGTGTAAAGCTTTCGGCTTTGAGGCTGAAGACTTCCGACTTGTATTGTGGGGTTTAGCTTTGGTTATCACGCGTTTAGAAGATGACGAGCAGGCTGAAAGTGTAAGGCGCTTTCTCGGGCAAACAAAGGGTCTAGGATTTGAGGGCTAAGAGGTTGTTTCAAGCATGGGGCTTTATAGGGTAAGGGATCAGGCAAGGGTGAGACTCAGAAGCTGCGCAAGTCAGATAGGGACGATTGGCTCGCGGGGCAGTCCTGCACACAGGGCTTCGGGCTCCCCGGCCCCTAAACCCTAAACCCTAAACCGGGTGCTCGTCCCCAGCGCAGGGAGTTTAAGGCTGACTTTCGCAATGGACTCCAGTCCTCGAAGCCTTCATGAGGCGCCATTCCTGCTTAATTTATGTATACTAATATTACTACGATTATTACTATTACTATTATTACTATTATTACTATTATTACTATTATTACTATTATTACTATTATTACTATTATTACTATTATTACTATTATTACTATTATTACTATTATTACTATTATTACTATTATTACTATTATTACTACTACTATTATTACTATTATTACTATTACTATTATTACTACTATTACTACTATAGGCCTGACATTCCAGTCAACTGGACGCTCACCGCGTGGGCCAATCACCTTGAAAATCAACACCCAAGCCACCCAAGCCCCCCAAAATCCCAAAGACACCTCCGAACCCTAAACAGCTGGCCCCGAAACCCTCAACCCTAAACCCTACGAAACCGGGCCAACACCCAGCCTTGGCCCGCAAGCCGCGTCGCGGCGCGTGCCGGGGTCAGCCTTGCAGGCCTTGAAAGAAGTTCGAGCACTTTTGGATGTTGTTTTCGGGTTAAGACGTTTAGGGTTTAGGGTTTGGGGATTTAGGCTTTAAGGGGTGAGGGGTTAAAGGTTTAGGGCCCAAGTGTTAAAATTCATACTCGTGGCCTGACAACTGTGGGTAATTGGCAATGCCCGAAGCGCCGTGCTTCCAAGGTTCCGGGAGGGATTTGAAACCGTCTTCCCTTACAGTCACTGTCCTATCTAATTGTACTCAAAATATATCACAAGATCCTAAGGCGCCTAAAGATGGATGTGCAAACCTGCAACCCGGCAAGCCCGTCCGATCCAAAGATCTCATGCCTCGATGGAGACTTTTCGGTTTTAGGTTTTTAGATTTTAGGGTGTAGGGTTTAATTACGAATGTAAGTAGATGAAGGTGTTGGGGCATGGTCTACTATAACAACTATGTAAAAACCACAAGAGGATATCATTTCCGCCCCACAACACCGAGACCACAAAACTCCGAAACTCCTCGACAAGACCGATGAGTTCTGGGGGCACCGCGATGCCCGGTTCGGCGGCAATCTGCTGGTTTAGGGCGTTCATATGAGGAGGTGGGGTTTTGGGGTCGAAGTTGGAACTCCCACAGGAGTTCATATACTCGAGGACCTCGATCCCAAATACCACATACCAAAATCCCAGCCCTTCCAATTCTAAAAACGACCCAAATCACAGCCCTCAGCCCGAACGAAGCCTAACTCAGAAACCCAACGAGCCCAATGCTCCCCTTGGGCCCCTTGGTAAGGCAATCGAAACATCCGCAATCAAGCTTGAGGCATATCTCTCAATTGGGAGATAAAGCGTTCTCTCTGCGCAAACCCTCCCCCAAGAAGGCCTTCATGATACCACAGTAAGATCATGCAAACTCCGAGCACTGCCTCAAAGGAAGTCTACAAAGCCCCCCCCCATAATAAGAAAGCCTAAACCCGGTACCCTAAATACCTCCTAACTAGTTCATGGTTGGGATAGGATAAAAAATTTCAATGTTTATTCCTTATTGGGTTTAAGTACCCATAAACATGTAACATGTTACCCAACTGTGACCCAACTATGACAAAGCTAAACTCCAAAACCATGCACAAACCCTGAAGCTTCAAGCATCGACTCCTTCTCCCCCTATAGCAACCACTGTAGTAGCCCCCCCCCCCACAAAAAAAATGTATGTATATATATATATATATATGTATATGTATATATTTATTTATTTATTTGTTTACTTATTTATGTGTATATATATATATATATAATTAGCCTATGATAACCCTCAAAAGAAACCCCATACTAACTCTTATGAACCAGTACTTAAAGTACCCCGTAGCCCCTTCTCATGACCCCCTAGGAATTGCAACAAAAACCGAGGAGACCAGAAAAAAGTGCTCCGCTGGGCCTGCCTCATGGAGCTAGGCCGCTCAGGGGTGGCCTTGGAAATAAAGGAAAGCCCAAGGTTCTGTCACATATTGCAGATAAGGATATACCATATGATACAAATATTCATACATATATATATATATATGTATATTATACATATACATATATACATACACATGTATTCATAAATATCCGTTTAAACATATACTTACATGCATGCTGCTTAGATTTTAGGTCTCTCCGGAGTTCTCCATTTGCAGCGCTTTGCGAGCTCCTTGGAGGCGTCCCTCTGAGGTTTTACTGTGCTGAAGCGGCCTTAATAATAAGGGCCTTAATAATTGGGTTTAGGGTTCAGGGTTCAGGGTTAGGGCCTTAATGATTAGAATCGGGGTTCCCCTTTAAGGGGTCCTTTAAAGGGGTTCTGTAAGGGATCTATAAGGGTTCTATAATGTAGGGGCCTTAAAAAATTTAGATTAGGGTGTTGGGGCCCATCTTGCTGTACTTATAATAAGGAACCCCCAAAATAGTATTGATAATTATTTAAGCCCGTACATTAAGGGTTCCTTGAAAGTGTTCCGTAAGGCTTGATCAAGGGCGTCCAGGGTTCAGGGTTTAGGGGGTTTAGGGCTTAGGGGTCTAGGGTTTGGGGGTTTAAGGCTTTAGGGTTTGGGGTTTAGTGGCTTTTGGCTTCAGGGCGTAGGATCCAACCCTCTCTCTTCTTCAACAACCGGGCCCCCAAAAGTTCAGACTTTGAAAAGATAGAGCTAATATATGAGGCCAAAAAGTTTAAAGTTCCACCGTTCACTATCTAAGCCCTGGAGACTTAGCAAGAATAGCAGGGAGCCCCAGGTGCGATTCTCGAGGTTCCAACTTCGTCCGCACCCCCGATCTAGCAGGAGCGAGGGTCTGGGGCTTCGGACGGGTTTAGGGTTTAGGCTTTAGGGTTTAGGGTTTCGGGTTTCGGCTCTGGGGTTTGGGGCTTCGGGCTCGGGTGTAATGTAGGAACCTGATTAAGAAACCCTGGGCCTAAAACCCCATAATAGTCGGATACTTTTCAAGAACCCTAAGAAAGGCCCAAGGTTTCTTAATCAGGGTCCTTCATTACCCTGAGGGCTACGGGTGTGCCAGAAGGAGAATAAGCCGGCTGCTTCAGAACACAACGGAGCCTGATTTAGAACCCACGATCCTTGGATCCGTACTATAAGGTCGCTCATATAAGAAAACCCTAAAGGAACCCTTAGAGGAACCGTAAAAGGAACCCTTGAGGGAGTCATGAAAGGAACCGTAAACCCTAAACTCTGACACTTCAGGAAATCATGAAAGGGAGCCTATGAAGGTCCCCTGAAAGGTCCTTAAACGGACCGTAAACCCTAAACAAGGAACCCTCAAAGGATCCCCAAAAAGAGCCCTGTTTCTAAGGAAACCCTTGCAAGGTTCCTTCCCTTTAAGAGCTCCCCTGAAAAGTCCCTGGACCTGGCGAAAAAAAGGGCTCAGGAGCCAGCGCCGGCGCCCGAGGAGGTTGTAGGTAGCCAGCTGCCCAGCCTGGCGTCTCGTTCTTCGGGGTTTTGTCTTTGGGGGTTCAAGGGTTCAAGCTGTAGGGCTTTAGGGTTTGGGGTGAAGGGTTGAGGGTTCAGGGAAACTTTAAGGGAATCAGAAAGGAGCCCCTTTAGTGCCCTTATGATACTTTTATAGTGCCCTTACAGGAACTCTTTAGGTAAATTTGGGGTTCGGGGGTACCCTAAACCCTAAACCCTTTAGGGCTTTAGGGTTACCGGAGCGCCGGCTCATGGCACGACCGGAAAAACAGTTTCGGAAAACGGAGGGATGAGACCTTTGGGGTTTCGGTTGGTGAATTTTTTTTTTAAACAAAGTGCAATGGGGCCTTTTTTGGCTTATGGTTTAGGCTATAGGGTCTCGGGTTTAGGGCTCTTTTTTTTGAGGGCCCTTTTCCTCCCTGCTACAGTCGGAATACCTGGTAGGTAGAGCCGGGATGAGGACGTGAGGCTCCCAAAACAGAATATTCGGGTTTAGGGTTCAGGGTTTAGGGTTTGGAACTACGGCCGATTAATCGGATCCGAAAATGCCCTAACCCGCTTGCCACCACAAGCGCACTCGTTGCAGTTACTCGAAGAAGGCTCCTCAAAAGGGAACCTACTTATTGGTCCATTCTTGGGTTTAGGATTTAGGCCGCATCAACACTTCGGTGAAGCTCTGCCTACACCCCCAGAACCTGAAATAGCCCTTGCTCAAGTAGCACTACAGTAAAAGCCAGAAAGTTGGAATATGATTACCCTAAACCCTTTATGGCAAGTTATAAGGTATCCTACCCTGAAACCATACTCCAACTTTCTGGAGTTCCTTTTAAAGGCTCAAAGGACTCAAACATGAACCCTCCGACCGCTTGCCTCAACCCCCAAGCAGCGAGGGCTTTGAAGTTCTGCTTGGGGCGGCTGCCCCGTCCGACTCTCCGAACCATGGGGAGGCAACCCAACAGAATGAATCCCAAATCTTCCACATCCAAAAACGTCCTAAGCCCTAGAAGATGAAAAAACCCTCAATCTGGGACAGGCGACATAGGCCCATTGCTCGCAGGTGCCAGTAGCTGCCCCGCGAAGTTGGATGGAGATCCTGGCAAGATTAAGACATGCCGGCTTTATGTTTGAAAGGGCGGCTGGGGTTTTGGGGTGCTGCAGTCTTGGTTTGGGGTCCGAAGACTTCCTTGCTCCAAGGTTGTAGAATTTTAAACTGACACTGCTGCTCGTTGCCCCCGACAAAGCATCGAGCCTACCGGCAGCTGTACCGAGCTCGGGTGTGGAGGCGTCGCCAAGACCTGAGCTCGGCACCGACGTGTAGACCATCGTTAGCAGACCTTTCAAGAAAGAATCCTAAAACCCTAGAGTCCCCTAAAGGAACCCTAAACCCCTAACCCCCAAAACCCTAAACCCCTAAACCCTTAAACCCCATGTTCTCTGATGTCGCCCGGGTTTGGGTACAGACCATCCCATGACAAACCTTGCGACTCCGGGTCTCTTGGATGTACGCAGCGCAGCGAGGCACATGCGAACGGAGCTGCTTGGCTAAACCCAAGACAGACAAATTTCTGGACGTAGGGTTTAGAGTGCAGTCCATTTTAGACTCTATTGTTCATGGCAGCCGGGCTCTCTGGCCAAAAAAAGCAGTATTTTGATTATGGTAGGGATACATAGGTCTTCAAACAGGTTAAAAATCAAAGATAGGAGTATACAATCCCAGAAAGGTTTCAGGTTACCATCTCAAGCACTAAATCAAAGGACAGAAGGAGGGATCCTTAATGGGGACCCTGCCCTATACTGAGCTGTATAATGGGTATATAAGAGCTTCATTAAGGGTATATACCTAGGGGTCCTTGTTAAGGGTCCCTCCTTTTACTCTTGGACTAAAGCTTCAAATGCAGCACATGCTAGCTGCAAAAAGATTGCACGCGCAGGTCGGCACCGTGGCACCTTCGAACGCACAGAGTTCCGCACTGCGCCGGGATATTCCTAGCTACAACGGGGAACGGCTTAGGGTTTTAGGTTTCGGGGTTAGGCTTTAGGGGCTTGTGGGTTTTATTATACTACCCCAAATAGTAGGATCCATATTCTGTGGACCCCAAAATAAGGTACCCCTAATTGTCGGAAACTCCTAAATCCTGAAGCTCCGGGAAGCTCAGAAGCTCGAACTGGATCCCTCCTGCCTTCAACTCTTCGAGACCTGGAAGCCTTAAAGAGCCTAAAGACTCGAAACACAACCCGTTTGCGTAAGAAAGGGGCCTCGATAATTCGGATAGGATTTTGGGGCCCGTTATACTAATAATAAGGAATGCCCCGAAATAGTACTGGTAGGTATTTAGGCCCCTATAGCAAGCCTCAGTATCCTTCACCACGAGGGAGGCCGCTTCCGGGGTCCCGGCCGGGGCGAACTGTTGAGCGGACAGATCCGCAGAGAGCCTGAGCACGCCGCAACTTCGGATTGGTAATGGGAAGTTTGCACAAACCCTGCACCTTCACCCAAAATTTCCTGAAACCCCCAAAGCCCAAAGCCTAAAACCCGACCCATAAACCCTGAAACCCCTTCAAAGCCGGGCAGAACCTCTGTAGAACCCGTAAGATAGATCCTAAGATCCGGGCCAGAACGGCAAACCGCCGAGTGTCGGTTCCGGGGACAAGCCTGCAGTGGGGTTGAGAGGGCTAAGGGTTCGAAAAAGGTTTACTATGGTCTCTATACGACTCGAGCGGCTTAGGGCTCCAGTATAACGGTTCTATAACTTTCAGCTTGAGGGCGTGGGGCCTGGGGTTGAAGGTTAGTGCTGTGGGTTTCGAGTTTAGGATTCCGGATTGCAAGCTGAAGGGCTCTTTTTCAAACCGCAGGGCTCAGGTCAGGGGTTGGGATGTAGGGCTCTTTCGTGAGAAACTCGAAGTTGTATAATGGCAGGTAGAGTGTTATATTATATAGTGTCCCTATAGGCAATAGCGTTTCAAAAATGCTGCTTTACGTGAGCTCTTGTCAAGAAACCAGGTGTCTCAAAGATGAGCACTCTCACCTATGAATAAGGTTTCGCTAGGTGAAACTACATCTGGTTCCACTTCATGGGAGTACGTGATACCTATCTACCCTATCTGTCTATCTATCTGTCTGTCCGTGTGTCTACCAATGTATGCATGGTCTGTCTATCCATCCTTACATCTATCTGCCTATCCAGCCACCTACCTGTTTGTCTAGTTATGTATCAAGCCAGCTGGCTGCACAACTATACATATATATATATATATATATATATATGCATGTGTGCACGTGTGTATGTGTACAGGCGTATGTACTTGCTTATACATGATGTGCGTATATATATATATATACATGTATATATGTATGTATACGTGTATATGTACAAAACTAAGATATACATACATGTCTACACACGGTTTAAAGTGCTGCGGCCCCTGTGCTCTGGGTAGAAGCCACCACCCGGAGCCCTGAATGCCAAGCGTCCACAACAGGGGAACTGTGGACTTTGACCAACTTGATCTTATCACCCAAGCTTTAGGGGTTTAGGGTTCCGGATGTAGAGACTCTGCTGCATTGATGCCCTTTGTCAATTCTGATGTATACACTCGGAGCACATGGCAACCTTGTGCACAAAAGCTGCTCGCTTCTTGACAGTTTCAACCCTCAGCCGTTCACCCTCAGAAAAGAGAGCACAAACACTGCAACCCAAGTGGCTCAAGTTAATATGGGGCCTTAATACTTAGAATAGGGTTTTGGGGCCCATTATACTATAGTTATACTGAGGAGCTCCCCAAAATTAGTATAGGCAATTATTATAGTATCTCCAGGCCTCTTCGAGCTAAGACATCGGTCGGCTCAACAACTCCGTTGAAGGCAAAACGAGGCCCCGGGCCGCCTTTGAAGCCCCACGGAACAAGTGGGAGTTTCCAAAAATTAGGGGTACCTTTAAAGGGATCTATAAGGGTTCCTTTAAGGGTTCCTATAAGGGATCTATAGGGTTTAGGGTTTAGCGTTTGTGAGTTTCCGAAAATTAGGGTCCGTTAGTGTTCCTTTGAAGGGTTACTCTAAGGGTACTGTAAGGGTTCCTTTAAAGGGCTCTATAGGGGGTTTAGAGTTTCCGAAAATTGGGGTGTTTACGGGAGACTCCGAGGGAATGCGAAAATTAGGGGTACCTTATTTGGGTGTCATTATAATATATTATAATAAGGGTCTTACTACTGTATCTAGGGCACTATATTAAGGTCCCCTGATTTCGGAAACCCCCAATTCTCCCAAAAATTCCTACGAACTACAACGGCACCCTGAAAATAGAAACCTCGAAAGAAATCGGTAAAGCGCCGAAAGCCCTTGGCCCGAAGACTGAACCCCGAGCCCGAATCCCAAACCCCAAACACTAGACCCAAGAGTAACCTAGGAATAAAAAGGGTGCCCTTTTTGGGTTAAAGGGGCTTATAAGGGAACCTGAACCCAAAAATAAGGGAATAAGGGCCTACTCTAGGTCCTAGAACACTACCCCCGGGGCACCTTGACTTGGCGCGAGGAACATGTTCGACGACAAGGTCTGCGTGGTGATTGGCATCGGTTCGCATGCTCTTATCAGGAAAAGCAAGTGCTGATTGGAATGGTGAATATCAATGATAGGACTTCGAGTCCTAAATACTCAACCCCGAAACCCGAAACCCCAAACCCCTATGTAAATCCTACCCCCAAACCCAAACCCTAAACAGCAGCAGGAGGACATCGAGTTTCGAAACCCTCCTCCCGGCGTATACTATACCCCCCTTACAGCCATAATAAAATAACATGCTTATTCTCTTGGGTCGTATATGAACAAAAATACAAAAAAAATCCTAAGGAGACTACAGTATGGTCTTTCCTTCCTCCAGCCTCTGCCGGCGCAGGCAGCTTAAGCGCTTGGGGAGGAGCTAAGACCTGACGTTGCGGCTGGGGAGCCGCGAGCACCTGGCATGTGAGCTACTTGGAGGTTCACGGGTACATAAAGGATCATGGGACTTAGTAACTAGGTTTATAATTAGGGTTACTATACTTGTAGCTACGTATAACCCTAATTAAGGGACTTATAACCTTATTTACTAAGTCCCATGATCCTCCAAGTAGTTAATAAGTCGGGTTGTAAGTGGGGTAATTATAGCTGTAACCCATATTGAGGGACTTATAACCCCACTTATAACTACCCATGAACCTCAAAGAATTCATGCCTTAAACCCTACAGCCGCAACCCGAAACCCTAAACAAAACCCTAAACCCCTAAACCCTAAACCTTTAGCAGGCCCGGCCCACTAGATCCCCGAGCTCCGAAACCCCGAACAGGCACAGTCAAGGCACCGAAGGGCTGGACGACCCCCAAACTTCCTGTTTCACATGAATGCCCCAAGTCCTTCAATCTCAACCCTGAGGCCCAAGGCCCAAACCCTAAAGCTCAAGCCCTACTCCCGCATGTTAGGAAGATCTTTCACAAAGATCCTCATGCCCTAAGCCCTTTCCCCAAAAATTCCCCAAGACCCAAGCCCCAAAACACATGACACTTCAGAATCGGGCTTGGGCCTCGCACATCAAAGACTGACAAGTTACTTCCAAGTCTATGTAAGACCACTTGGCCAACTTACTACATCCCCCGAACCCTAAACCCTCACCCCTGAAGGTTTCTTGTTCAGTTTAAACGACCGTCGTGCCTGTGTGTGGGCGGGTAGCTGCCCCTGGGGGGGACCAATCACCTGGCACATGAGAGCTACAAACTCGGGCTCAGGAGAATTCAGGGCTCAGGGCTTCAGAGAGCTTGCAGCCTAGAGGTTTAGGGGTTCAGAGGTTCTGTCGAAGGCTGCTGTTCGTCGGCCGACAGATGGAGCCCCTGCACATTGAGAGTTGCAAGCCGGTTTAGGGTTTAGGGTCTAGGGGTTTCAGGTTTAGGGTTTAGGGTTTAGGGGTTTAAGGTTTAGGGTTTAGGGTTTAAGGTTTAGGGTTTAGGGTTGAGGGTCTGAGATTCATTCTTTGCAGGGGTCAGGGCTTGAGGCTTAGGAGCTGCTGGACATTGGCAGGACGGACATGCCTACCTCTCCCGGCACCGAAGGAGGGCTCGGTTAGAGATGAGGTGCAGCGGACACTGCGGCTGATGATAAGAATCCTGCATCAGCCATAATCAGGAATATACCATAATTCCCATAGTTTAGGGTCGCTAAAGTAATGCAGGATCTATATCACCAACCGTAACATCCTGTTTTCTGGAGACTTCGACATCTCTTGATTCGGCTGCCACGTGTGATAATTAGGCATCCGTTCTCAACGAATTCGGAGTTCTTAGGGTCTAGGGTTTAAGGGTTTACGGGTTAGGAATACATGTAAAGTCGGACGCAGGCGACAAAGAGCGGAACACTCGCGATGCGCAACATGAAAGATCTGTGCGCGACACCCTAGACACTTCAGTCCCAGACCCTAAACCCTCAATCCCAATCCCCAACCTCAAAATTCTAAACCCTACACCGAGACCCTGACCCCGAAACCTCGATTGTTTGATTGTTTGGGGTCTTGGATTTTCGGATGGCAGGCTCAGGTTCTGCAATAAATCCGACTTGCTAGGGTGCCGAAGAAGTAGATGCAAACGATGACGAGTTAGACCAAGCTTTCATGACTGAGGGCTCGGAACAGGCTAGCATTTCCACAAAAGCGCGAACTAGCCCCCCCCCCCCCCCACATCCCTAAACCCTGAACCAAGCCTAAACCAAAAGCCTGAGGAAAGCTGCAGGTTGTAAACAAAACCCGAAACCCAAAGTTCTAATAGCGCTTGGGACTCCTGTCTTCCTTTTGCCAAGAAAAAGCCAGCAAAGAACCCCAAACCCCATTAATTAAGGAATATTCCTTAAAGTATAGTAGGATCCTTAATATGACTTAAGGAATATTCCTTAATTAAAGAATCTTGGAGTCTCTGGGGCCAACAAAGAACCCCAAACCCCCCCCAAGGCTTCTGGTTTAGGGTTTAGGGCCTGAAATCTACCTAGAACCCTGAACCCCAACCCCTAAACCCAAAACACCAAACAAAAAAAAACTAGAACCTTGAACCCTTAAAAGTCTTAACACTAAAAAACCTAGAACCTTGAACCTTAAAACTCTTCACAAAGCCGTGACACCCGCCTTGAAGTCCTCGAAAGTGAGAGTCTGCGCGCTTTCGGTGCTGTGGAGGTCGCCAGCTCCCGCGAGAGCTACCTCCCAAGGGGGCTTGGGGTTTGGGGTTTGGGGCTTAGTCTGAGGGTATAGTATGGGGTTTAGGGTAACCCTGAATCCTCAACTCCAAACTCCAACGTTTGAGCCCCTAAACACTAAATCTTAACCCTAGGCCCTCTTAGGACCCAGCCCCTGAACCCCAAACCCCTAAAACCCCCTACCAACCCTAAACCCTAAACCCTAGACCCTAAACCCTAAACCCCCTACCAAACCTTCTGAAGCCATGTAAAGGCCCGAAGCTAAGAGCCAAGCTGTAGAGGGCCGCCGCAGCGGCGAATGCAGCACCTCACCATAACAATCATAGCCATAAGAATACGAATACCAATAAGACTCATAATCGTAATCATAATAGTCATACAGTCATAGTGATAGTCACAGTAAGACGAATACGAATACTAATGATCATACTGATGATGCTACTAACCCCTAAACCCCTAAACCCCCAAACCCCTGAACCCCTAAACCCCTAAACCCTAAACCTTATAATAATCGGAGTGATCGGGCCCAGGGGGCCGGCACCGAGGCACTTGGGCTTAGGGATTCCAGCTTCGGGTTTCGGATTTTAGGGTTTGGGGCTTAGGGTTCCTTCAAAGGGATCCATAAGGGTTCCTTTAAAGGGATCCATAAGGGCTCCTATAAGGGATCTTTTGGGTTTTAGGGCTTAGGGTTCCTTTTAAGGGATCTATAAGGGTTCTTTTGAGGGATCTATAGGGTTTTACGGTTTAGGGCTTAGGGCTTCGGATTTAGCACTTCGTGTTTGGGGCACTGTCGGGTTCGGGTTTAAGGTTTTAGGTTTTGGGGTTTTGGGTTCGGGATTCACGGTGTAGGGTTAGGGTGGAGCCCGGAATTCCCGAAAAGACGGGGAGCTAATCGGAGAACCCAGGGGAGGAAAACTGGGGGGGCAGTCTGGACAAGTAAACATGACCACCATTTAAGGTTTTGGGTCAGGGTTAATATACATTATATATACATATATACATACATACATATATATATATGTAGATGAGCTATGGCTTGCAGACGAACACCTGGCACAATCTTGCGAAAAGCGGCATACAAGAAGAGTCCTACGCCAAAGCGAGGAAGCCTTCTTGAAGACCGCCCGAGTAACACCAACCTTCCTTTGAGAATCCCAACCCGAAACCATGAACCGAACATGCATACAAAGACGAGGACAAAGTGCATTAATCAGGAGAAGAAGTGCAAATGGTTATAACAGTGATGTTAATTAATGCTGCTACTACCTCCAATAAGATACTAAAGCTCGAATCCCGAAGCACTCAACCGCTGGTCCGTAATCCCTAGACCCTTGTGTGTAAACCCTAAACCCGAAACTCTAAACCCTAAACTCCGAACTCCGAACTCCAACCCCAAAACTGAAATCACAAAACCCCCAAAGCGCCTGCGATCTCTGCGACATCGCAGGGCCGCTTGGCGACCGATACGAGCCCGGCCTCGACACGGGGGGTCCCAAGAAACGAAAAGCAAAACATAGACAATGTGTATACATGACGTGTATATATGTATATATGTACATGTATATACATATATTTATATATAGATGTATACATATATATATACATAAATATGTATACATATATATATATATATATATAGATATAGATATAGATATAGATATAGATATAGATATGTATAGACATATAGTTGCATATATACATATGTGTAAACATATACACACATGTGTGCGTGTGTATGTATGTACGATGTACATGTACATGTGTATGCATGTGTATATGTATATGTATGTCTATGTGTATGTGTATGTGTATGTGCATGTGCATGTGCATGTGCACGTGTACAAGTACATGTACATGTACATGTATATGTATATGTATGTCTGTCCGCAGGAAAGTACGTTTTATGTATTTATTTGCACGTAACCACAAATACGCTATTGTAATATATAATCACAGAATTTTTCGCAATCATCAGGATACCCGCACTCACAATTGCAACAATCGTAATTATAATAAGAAACTAGCTCTTAGCATTACTATGAAATGCGTAGTGATAACAATAACAGGAATGAAAATAACCGTAATCATGCAAATAGCAATCGTAATCTGAACAGCTAGATACTCCATATTACATAACGAACAAACACAAAGCTAACAGTAATAATGTTAAGAGTAATATAAATAACAACAAACAACACCAAAAATTATACTGCTTCTGTTACGGATATCAAGAGGATTGCAATACTAACAATAAATGCTGATTCTGAAAGTAATCTTTAGACTAAGTAAGACTAGTTCTAGTACTACTTCTAGTCCCATCCCTAAGAATACTACATAATCAGATCTGCAGTAGTATTAAATGCATATGTACATATACATATGTGGATATATACTGGACATGTACATATGTGTGTATAGACATATAGATAATTTTATAGACCGGTAAAAACGGGTAGATGGATGGAAAACTACAAAAACATTTAGATTGATTATTGATTGCTAGATAGATAGAGAGATAGAGAGACCCAGAGACAGACATAGAGACATCGAGAGATAGAGAGATAAAGAGATAAAGAGATCGATCGATACGTAGATGTTCCCAGGGCGGTTAGGTATATGATATATGGAAGATTTTCTGGGTCTCTGTAGAGACTCACAGAACTTTTGCGTTTTCAGTAAGATTTAGATGCCAAGTCTTGTTAAAAGAACATACAGGGGATTCACTGAGTTTGAGGGTTGTGAACTGTAGGGTTGAAGGGCTCCGGGTTTGGGGCGGAGTGCTTAGATTTTTTGAGCTTCTGGCGGTGTGAGTCTAGCATCTAGAGGCTTAGGCCTGAGTGCATTCAAGGCCTTTTTTAGGAATTGAGATGACCTTTCGAAATGCTGATAATGCAACGCTACTTCGACATGGGCTCAGGCGGAGGGTTAAGTTTTGGGCTTCATGAAATTGGGCTCTCGGAGTTTAGAGTTCTGAGAGAAACACAGAAGGGACTCCCGAGAAACCCTACTGCAAAACCCCAACGCCCGCAAACCCTAACTCCTGAACCCGAAACCCCCAAACACAAACCTCTCATCCATGAACGCCACGAAGCCTAAACCCTAAACCCCACGAGCCCTACACGCACCCCATTGCTGAGATCCGCGCTTCGGTGACCTCTCGGAGCGACTCTGATTCTCCTCCGCCGCCTCCGGAACGGCTAGTCAGGGGGGCCGTTATGGTTAGAAGACGGCTCGGCTCCTTCAAGGGATCCTTTAAGGGGTCCTTCAAGTTTAGGATTCGGGGTTTAGGGTTTAGGGTTTTAGAGTACGGTTCATTCAAGGGCTCTTTCAAAAAGCCGTCAGCAAGGGGTCCTTTAGGGCCCCTTCAAGGGATCCTTTAAGGTTCCTTTAAAGTATCCTTTAAGGGGCCCTTTTGGTTTTTCTAAGGGCCCTTTATAATAAAAAAAACCGTCAGCAGCCTGCTCCAGCTGATCCAGCACCGGCCGGTGACTCCTGGTTTGCGAATGCTTTATGCGCTTTCTGAAACCATGGTTTCAGGCCTTCGGGCTTCAAGGCTTTCCGTCTGGTTTTGGAGCTTTAGGGCTTCAAGGCTTTCGGGCTTGAGGGCTGGAGGGCTTTGAGCATTAGGGTTTTCAGGGAGAACTTGGCTTGTTGCAATTAAGGGCCCGTGATCCGCTTATGCAAACGGTCTTCCAGTGACTAGGTATTGCTTTCATGAGCTCGGTTGATCTTTCCATCTGACAGTAACTGCCACTTCACTCTGCTGCCTCCCTGTAAGCCAAACATGTGGGATGCTCTGCTCTTCTTCTTGTCGAACTGAACTTCTCATGTGGAAGCCAAGACACACTACTTAAAGGTTCATGTGGGGTATCATATCCCCGCAGGTTCGGAAGCATGATCACGAAGACATACGAAGAAGGTATGCACCCTGTCGATCCGTCAACCTGCATTTGGGTAGTTGTCAAAATTATGGTCCCTTTTTGGATACCCTAAATAGTAGGTGCCGTATTCGAATAAGGACCCAAAAAGGGACCATAATTTTGACAACCACCCATTTAGGAGTTGGGTCAGAAGCCCTTGCATCCTCGCTGGAGACCGGCTGGGGCTGCTGTCTTTGATCTTCCTGGTCATCTCCTGTGAAGGAATTTTGGGGCTGGCGTTTCGCATCTCCTTTTCTCTGAGTTCTTGGTAAGGAAGTTAAGTTAAGTTACCATAGAAAGGAAACCTAATATTGTTTACTATTGTAGTATGGTAACTTCAAGTATGTTCCTTCGCAAGAATCCAGTAAAGGCGTGACACCGTTTGTCGTTGTTCCTCAACTCAAAAAACGGGCGCCCAAAGCAGTATCCCCAAGATGAAAGAAACTTCGCATCTAGCAGAAATCCTTTGCGAGGCTTTCGCTCAAAAAACGAGCGCCCAAAACAGTATCCCCAAGATGAAAGAAACTTCGCATCTAGCAGAAATCCTGAGCGAAGCTGGCTGGCTGTGTGCCTGGAAACCGAACTGGCGGTACTTTTATTCACTGCTTAAAAATCCTGAAGCTTTTGCGGGCTCAGCTGTTGTATACTGCATCGCAGGGTTTGGGTGGCAAGGTTTGAGCTGCAATCGCTCCTCGGCTTAAGTCCTCTTCTCCACAGGCTTAATCTGAGAAAATTACCCTAGAATCCCGAGAAGGGCTCCGTCAGCACCATTTACCTGACCCCGCCCCGCAGCCCTCGCGGGGGATAGGACTACTATAGGGTCGTATATAGATAATTAATACGAATACTATTTTGGGGGTTCCTTATTATAAGTACGGTACAATGGGCCCCGAACCCTATTCTAATCCTATACTATTTCCCCGGCTTAAAGCGTCGAGCTCGGCGCTCCTCCTGAAGGCTTAGAACGCGAAGCACGCAGCCGAAACCTTACAACCCCAAGCCCCAAAGCTCCTAAGCCCCAGAGCTCCTAAGCCCCTAAGAGAGGGTTTAGGGTTTTTCTTTTTGGAGCTCCTTTTTCCAGTCGCCTGAAAGGGTCCCGAAAGCCGAAAAGGCCAGGAAAACGGTATGGCGCTTATCACCACCCGTTTGTTGCACAGAAAGCAAAGGACTCCATCCCCGTCGATCCCGATAACCCCTGCATCACTCCGTCAGACCCTCAGTGCAGGCAGTGCGGGCTCACTTGCAGGTTCACCTAACCTCCCCACTGATCGGCCGGATCAGCAGGCATAGCATGTAGCAGGCTGGCTGCTTCGTACCCCCCTTCCTCCGTCGTCACACACGTTGGAGCAACTGCCCCTGTTGTCGTGAGGTCGTCGATGGCCTGGATCACCTGAGCATCCGCCATCACGTCCTGTGGGAAGGCGGGGTGTGCCAGGTCGCCCACAGTGTCAGGTACGTGGAGGTCCTGCATGCTCAGGCTGTGTGTCCGGCAGGATCCCGTCTTCTCGCGCCCATGTCCCTTCCTCTCTGAGGAGCTGACGAGACTGAAACAATTCCAAGGCTTCGTCTCCCAGCCTGGTTTGCACCATCGCGTCTGTAACCTCTCCCCTCATCCAGCGCCCCAAGTACCAATCGTAGTCCGACCAGGGCCTGCTTGGCAAAGGCACGTAAACACCATCGAGGACTCAGTGGGGGCATGCATGGTAGGGCCATCCAAAGGTTGCATCGCCCACTGCATCTGTAGCATGTCCAGCACCCCTTGTCCGTGTTTGTCCACTACCTGCTGCATGCTGATCTGGCCAGTCCTGGGTAGGTGGGCCAGCCTGTCAAAGTCCTCGTGAGTCACATCAGCAGTGGCCTCCTCCGCATCCAGCTCCTGAAGGATGCCAGCAGGTTCGCAGTGAGGTAGTGCTACTAGCAGGGGGTGCAGGGCTGTATTCGAGGTGTGGTCACGCTGAGGGAGTGGCTCAGTCTCAGCTTCGCTGCCTTCAGCTTCTTGGATGGGACGTATAGTCAGGTGCAGAGCTCCATCCGTAGAGGGACGTACCAGGCGACGATGAGACGTTTCCTGGTAGGAGGGGAAGACGTCATGGACTGGTGAAGGGTCCAGTCCTCCCAAGCTTGGTAGCTCCAGCTTCCCTTTGGGTCTCCAGGATGTGTGCCCTGACCAGCCCCTCTTGGTGTGCTTCCTCCGCTTCATGGCGTAGTTGAGCCAGGTCAGTTCCTTCTCCCAAGCTAAGTCCTTCCCCTTCGTACTCCCGGGCGATCTCGGCATCGAGGACATGAGCAGGTAGATCACGTGTAAATCGCATTTTGGTCAAGTGTCACCTCCTCCACCGACGAAGTCACCGGGGAGCCAGGTGGTGTGTCAACCGGAGGTGCAGCAGTGCCCATGGCGGCCGGTGCGAGAGCAAAGGCATGCCCCGACGAGACCGAGATCCGCACGCTTCCGGCAGGTAGGGCGGGGAGGAGATTTCGCCACACCCGCAGTGCTAGCTCCTCAGGTGGCATACAGTAATGCGAGGACATCAGCTGCTCTCCTTTGCGCGTGGCCCAGAACGTACCCCGCCGACATCGGTGCATCGCCAGTCAAGGAGCTTGAGCAGGAGGAGGGCCGCAGCGCAGCGTTCCTCGAGTTCCATAGCCTCGAGGATCCCCCTTAAGTCCTGCAGCTGTCTGTTTCAGCTTCGGCGGCATCGTGGTGGGGTGCTGGTGGTCCTGCCTGCATGAGTGCGGACTCCTCCGTGTCCACCCTGAGCTGCTGCATCGAGGATCCTCTGAGTGACCATAGTCAACCCTGTCATAAACACCACTCTGCCCCTAGCATTGAGCCCGACAGAGGTTTCAGAGATGATGTTGCATTGGTATTGGCTCGGGAAGCTATTGGGTTCGGAATCTTCACTCCATTCTCAAGACGATGAACCATAGATCTCGTGCTTCGGCCAGAGTCATGGGTGCAGAAGGCGGGGTAGTCGGAGCCGGCGTAGCCGTAGGAGGCACGGAGGAGGTAGCCGACAGGGATCTAGCTTTAGGTCGCGGCCGTGCAAGTCCATCTCCTCCGGACCCTGTTGCCGTGGTTGCCGGGCACGCAGGGGTGCTGGAGGTCTGCGCACTTCAGTTGTCACCGTTGGAGGCCCTTTGAGGTCCGATGGCTGCGGCCTCTGCTCCTGCTCCGACTCTTCAGCCACCGTTTCTTGATTGGTCTGCCCCCCATCAACGAGGCCAGGTCTCCGGCCTCTTGGTGGTTCACATAGTCGCAGGAGGTGGTGTTCGTCGGCGGACTGGACCTTGCCTGAGCAGTTGCCGATGGAGAAGAGGGCCCCGCCGAGGATTCTGCCGAGGGATTCCTTGTTGGGTATTCGACATAAGGATGCTTCCGCGTCGTAGGCCCAATCCACCGTGCACTCCGGCGCCTCTGGACCAAGTGTGTCTCCAGGACCAACTGCCACAGCAACTACCCTAAGGAAGTGTGCGGCCCTGCCCCGGTAGATAGGATCTATTCGGCACTGGATCCTCCTTCGCGGTAGCTCATACGCCCAGCCCTCGCGCCCTTCATCCTGGATCTCCTTGAAGAACTTGATAACCTTGTGCATCCAATTGGCCTTGATGTGGAGCATGGTGGGCATTGGGGAGGCAACTCTTGGTTGATCCCTGTCTCGTTGGAGAGCCTGTTGCACCCTTTGTTGCATAGTTGGCGGAGGTGCATCACTCCTCCACCTTCCGCGGGGAAGGTGTTGGGCCTTTGCGTCCGCCGCGCCTGCTCATCGGATGTAAATTTGGCCGAGCACAGCAGCATCCCAGCAGCCAACTGAACCAGCCGTCCTGGCCCGGTTCCATGGTCTCGCGCGAGGAAGCCGCGCTGGTCTCCTCATCGCTCCCCAGGCGGTCACCGCAGCATTGCTCGCCTGCAGCAGCGGTACCGTTGGCAGCACGTTTCGCTGCCTCCAACGCGATCAGCTCCTGCTCCAGCCCAGGTAAGTGCTTGCGTTCGCGCTCCTTCTTGAAGGCCAGGGAGTCCGCTGCGGCCTTGGCTGACATCTTCGCCCGCTCAAACGGAGACAAGGCCATCAATGCCTCCACAGCGAGCTCCTCGTCCCACCCGACCAGCTTCAGGGTGTTCATTGCCAGGTGCACATCGACGGCGGTGCAGTCCGCGATGCCCCTTGCAACCTTCCACTGCTCCATCTTCCGGTCCATCATGTTTTTAGCCTGCTCTGCGAGACCCTTGGCCTTGATCACGGCAACGTAGGCATCCACAAACTTGTGTCTAGCCTCGTTTGACTCCTCGCGGGACATGTCTGAAGGCCACTGTGCGGGACCCCTCCCAAGAAATCGAAACTGGGGTGGAAAAAGTAGCTCTAAGCTTGAGCCAAGATGGCTACGGATTAGGGTTTAGGGTTCAAGGTTTAAACATACAATCTAATGAAAAACGAAAGAACCTTCCACTTTCCGATACCTTGAGCTGCTTCTCGAAGGCCTCACCCGAGGGCTCCTGACGGCGGGTAAGGAGAGCTCTTCACTTCCCCTAAGTTGTTTTGGCTTTGGGGGTTTAGTTGGGGGTTTTCAGCAGAAGTAAAGGCAATGCAGCCGCCGCCGCCACCACCACCGCCAACAACAACAACACTGTGATGCAACAGAAACGGCAAAATCATACTGTTTGGCCTCTGCCCTGCGATTCTCTAGACCCCAAAGCCCCGACATTATCTAAAACCCTGCAGCCCTGAACCTGAACAGCAACCGGGTTTATGATTCTAAACCCTAAACCCCTAAACCCTGTTTATGAACCCTAGACCGTTTTTATGTTTCAGGGGTCTACATGGAGCCAGAGACTCGAACCCCGAAACAAGCGGGTGCCCATCCCGAAGGCCTCCTCCTGGCTGCGGCGCTGCAGCGACTGCAGGTGCGCCCTCATCGCCTCCCCAGAGAGCCCAATACCCCTTAATTAAGGAATATTAAGCTATATTCCTTAATTAAGGGGTATTGGGCTCTCTGGGTCTTTGGCGGAACTCTGGGTTCGCGGCTGAAGACCTCAAGCCCTAAACCCAAAACCCGTAACCCTAGGCCCCAAAAACATCCTACATCCCAAATCCGAAACCCAAAACCGAAACCCGAGTCCCCCAACCGAAATAAGCTGAAGCCTCGAAGCTCGAAAAGGCGACGCTTGGGGCTTCACCCCAAGGCCCCGAGCTCTTAAACCCTTACTTGGAAGGGCAGGGGACTTAGTAAGTAGGTTATAAGTCGGGTTATGATTGGGGTAACTCCATTTGGGGTACTTATAACTCTACTTATAACCTACTTACTAAGTCCCCTGCCCTTCCAAGCAGGACTGTCAAGCCCGGAAACCCCAAGCCTAAGGCCTAAGGCTTTAGGAGGGGCCTTATAGGGCTTCTTTAAAGGGATCCTTAATGGTTCCTTTAAGGGATTCTATATTAGAAACTGCCCCCACCCTGTAATAGTGACTATAAGGATTATATTAGGGCCCTACTATATTCCTATTCGACCACTATTACAGGGTGGGGGCAGCTTCTAACCTCAACCCCTAAACCCTAGACACACTGAACCCTAACCCCTAAACCCTAAACCCCTAAACCCCTAAACCCTAGGGATCTATAGGGTCAAGCCATCCGCACCTCAGAACACAAATGCCTGAACCCAACTCTGACTCCGCAGGCCCTTAAACCACCTGGGTTTAGGTTTAGGGGTTTGGGGGTTCAGGGTTTAGGGTTTAGGGGTTTAGGGTTTAGAGTTTAGGGGTCTTTGGGGTTTAGGGAACCTTCACAAAACCCTATGCAACCCTTGCCAATCCCCAGAACCGTTAAACCCCAAACCCCTCGAAACCCTCTGCTCTGGGCCCTCCTCGCCTGCACCTCCTGGCTCGAAAGTGTCTTCCTCGCAGGGTCCAAGAATTGGGATTTCGGAGCTGTTGGGGCTCCTTTCAACATTAACCATCTGTCGGTAGTTATACGTGGGGTTATAAGTAGGGTAACTATAGTTCTAACCCATATTACGGGACTTATAACCCCACTTATAGCTACCCATGAACCTCCAAGTATAACAAGGCTGCTGTCAACCTGCCTCTCGCGCTGCTGGCCACGGAGCCTGGTCCATCGTGTGTTAACGGTTTTGGGCCTGGGATTTGGGGTCTGGTGCTTGAGGAAATTAGGACTCGAGGTTTTGGTCTTTGAATGCTTGGGGTTTAGGGGTTTAGGTGCTTTTTGACATGTGTAATGCCTAGGTTTAGGGTTTAGGCATTACAGGGTTCGGCTTTGGTTTAAGTTTACGGTTCCTGAGCTTACGCTTCAGGGTTTCCCGCCTGGGCTTATAGGGCAGCGGGGACTACAGGGTTGGATTTAGAGTTGATGAGGAGAGGATATCACCAGTCGAATAGGATGTCTGTGTCTATCTGCATTCAGATTTATATAGGTATTCATCACAGGGGTGGGAAATCTTCGTGCAGGACCACCACCACCACCACTACCACTACCACACTCACAGCCACGACGACGACTACTGCGACCGCCACCACGGCTGCTTGAGGCCAAACTAGAAACCCCTAAAGGATCCCTCCAAGAAACCTTTGTAGGAATAGGAACCCGTATGGAACGCTTAAGGGAACCTTTATAGGAACCATAGTTATATATAGGAACCACAATTCTAGGAACCATTTACAGCTGAAGGGAACCTTTATCGGAACCTCGAACTCCAACGTCCACATGGGCAGGTTCGGGGCCCTTTTGGGAGGTGGAACCTTGTTTTCGGGTCTAGGGTTTAGGGCAAGGTTTGGGTTTAGTTTAGAGTGTTCAGGGTTTAGGGTTCAATTGGGGGAATCCGGAAACCCTAAACTACATCAGAATCCTCCCTCGCAGCAAAACCGAACTCCCAGACGGAAAAGAAGCAAAACCGGACCATGCTTGAAGTCGCTTGGGTTCTTTGTAGCATGAGAAGACTTTCAAGTAAGATAACGGGAGCTATGACTCATATTATTCATCCCAGTTCCTACTGAGACATCAATTTGCGCATGAACCTCCGCTGCACACCCAAGCCCCCCTCCCTCTTCTTGCTCTAAACCTTATAAACCCTGAACCCCAAACCCGGACTTCTAGGGCCCCAACTCCGCTTCCTGTCGGGTGTGGCAGTTCGAGGCCCATGAATTCGGTTTTGTGGCTCGGGATCTTCTATTAAGTATCTAAATGGGTTCTACTACAAGGGCGCAAAAAGGCCTTCTACAAGGGTTTCTGCAAGGGTTCTTAAAACGGTTCTACAAAGGCTTCTACAAGGGCTCTATGAGCGTTTCTACAAGCGTTTTGGGTTTGGTGGTTTTGTGTTGCCTAAACCCTAAACCCTAAACCCTAAACCCTAAACCCTAGGGCGTAGACTTTCAGGTCTCGGGCCGAGGGGTTTGGAGTCTACGGTTCAGGGTTTACCTTAACCTCCCAAAACCTACTTTTTTGTAGGGCCCCCATATTCTCCATATTAGGGTTTATAATAAGAACCCACAAAAAAGTAGGGTTTGGTAGTTTAAGGTAGGTTTTGCTACGACCAGCGTTGTCTCGACTACTCGTTCTGCTGAGATATAGACATCCGATCGACAGCAGATCGCCTTGGGCTCAATTACCAGCACTTTCGAAATCTGCACAACAACCCCTTGCTCCTGATTAACGTGTCAATGATTAGTACTACTCTTCCCTGGCTTCGTTGCTGTAAGTACACATTACTATACTCCAAAACCCGAGTCCGAAAACCCGAGTCCGAAAATCAAGGCCCTGCATTAAAACTTAAAAACAGCAGCCACACATCAAAGGCCGTCAAGCTTGAATTGACTGGTACAGGGGCCTTAATAATTGGAATAGGAATTCTGGGGCCAGAGATACTATAATTACAATCAGCAACCCTCAAAATAGTATAGGTTACTGTTGAAGCCCCCATATTAAACTGGATTGGGCTGCAGAGCCCTGCCTTTGGGATTGTTCTAAGGGCGTTAGAGCTTTAGGGCTCGCGGTTTTTGGTTTACGGCTCGGGGGTTTAGGGTCTAAGATTCGTCTCGGTTCCGGCGTAGGGGCTGCGAATCGTGCCGGCCACCCCATGCTAATACAGGGGCGGGAATCACTTGAACAGGGTTTTGGTGTTTGTTATACTATTATGACTACTTACATTAAGGAACTCCGAAGAATAATAGGGGCAATTGTTCCGACCCTAAACTAACAGTAGAACAAGGCATACAATAGCAAAGTTACATCCGGACTATAGAGGGATACCGCTTCTGATGATCACTATACCATTGTAGTACCAGTATAGTACCCTTATAGTACCCTTATATAGTGCCCCTATATAGTACCCGTCTTATGCAGGCCCCAATAGCATGCCCAACTTGGCCTGCTTCCGGGAGAAGCGCAGGTCCTCTGGCGATGCAGTGGCTGATTAGGGGTTCAGGGTTTAGGGTGGCTTTGAAGTGGCAAGCAAAGGATCTGCCCCAAAGTAGATGTTCTGTTGCTGGTCTTCTCCTCGGCTGAATTCGCACCGAAAACCTGGAAACCTTGCATGCAAGCCCCGGACCTAGATCCTAACAGACACTACAGCCCAAACCCTAAACTGCCCTCAACCCCAAACCCTCAACCCTGAACCCCCCGCTCCTATCTGCCGCCCTGAACTCTAAACCCTAAACCCCTAAACCCTAAACCGCATCCCTGCGTGCCGGATCCCTGCGAACCTCCTCGGACTTGCGGAGCTTTCTCTGCAAGTCGCTGACGATAACCGTCTGGATAGAGATGGGGATGTTTACGGTTTAGGGTTCAGGGTTTAGGGTCTAATGTAGGGGCCTTAATAATTAGAATAGGGTTTTGGGGCCCATTATACTATAATTATAATAAGGAACCCCCACCATAATATTGGTAATTATTTAGGCTCCTACAGTAGGGTTCTGGAGTTCAGAATTCAGAGTTCGGAGTTCGGAGTTCAGGGTTTGGGGTTCACAGAGTTTTGGGGATTTTTGAGCTTTTGGGAATTCGTGCCCCGGTGTTGTTTTGTTCGTTAGAGCTCGCCCGGAGGGATGATTTCCTCATCATCACGGACACATGACTCCGAACCCAGAATTCAGAACCCGAACCCTGAACCCCTGATATAACCCTCTTCGAACCCTCTTCAACCTACAGCCCTGGCACCTAAACCCTAAACCCTGAGCTGTGGATCCCAAACCCAAAACCTCTGCCAAAAAAAGGCAACGGTTAAGGTTTAGGGTTTAGGGTTTAGGGTTTAGCCATCCCGGCGCCTGCTTCGCACGTTCAGATCGCTCCGTCTCCAGCTCCTGGTGGGGACTTAAACTTAGAGACTCCTCTCGGGGCTGTACTTGGGAGTCTTCAGAATAATGGAAAACTCGTGTGCTCATTCATCCGTCGGAGTATATTATAATGACGACGAAAATCCTTCCTAAGAATTCCAAGAAATGATTCTCCTCTCTTCTGCATGTTTGTGGGCGCCTGAGCGTCCGAAACGCATTCGCCACTTCTCGGCTTCCAACCCTTATAACTAACGAGTCTGCTCTGGCTCCTTTGTGCATCCGCGGGATATCCTAAGGTGTCCCATGGCTTCTTCCTTCTCTGGTGCCTCCTTGTGGTCTTTCTTGTGGGAAAGCCTGGGAGTCTGTGGCCTGTGAGTTTAGGACTGGGCGTTTAGTAGTGGTGATTTTATGCCGGCAGTTTGCGGGCTCAACAGGCTAAGGAGCAATACCCACTCCATGCTCTGCGAACCCGACATCCCAAAACCTAAGCCCCGAAGCAAGTGCTGGTTTGCGCCTCCCGAGAGGACTGAAGCTCCTTTTGCAGCTCGCCGATGGCCGTCGCCTGTGTGTGCAAACATGCAGACAATTCAATCAAGCCCAGGCTACGAGCGAAGTTGAAGCCGCGAGCATGGTCGAAAACAGCGGCTGGGACTACAGATCAAAATGCTGAGGAGCCACTTGACTTCGGAATGCAAGGTCTAATCTCTGATCCGCGTGGGCTACGAGATGATTTGCCCCTGAAAAGCCGCAGCGCCGCTCCTCGACTGTGTGCATACTCAGAACTCAAGTTGGGCAACTGCTCTCAAACGGTGGCCTTCCAGCTCCATTCAGAAAGAGGCAACACCAAACCCAAAACTGTCGGCCCTCAGCTTGGCTATGGAAAGACCTCGCGCCGACAACCTACTTATGAGCCCTTGGGGTTGAAAACTATCCAGAGTCTAGGGTTTAGGGCTTAGGACACATGGGCTTGTAATGATCTTTACTTTACACCGCCAATCCCCATCCAGACACTCCCGCCACTCGGAGTTGAAGACTACCCAGCCCTGAACTCTAAACCACCGTAGTGCAGCTTCAGGCTTAGGACCCTCAACCATACCGGGTATGAAAGTTTAGAGCTTGGGGTTGAGGACCCTAAACCCCAGCTCCAGACCACACCGCTCTTCTATCTTAGGTCTAGGGTGCAGCAAAACGAAGACGGGCCTGCACCTCCTGAGCTGTGTGCATCTTCATCTTCAGCTTCACCATGGCGGGATCCTGGCCGCACTCTGCGGTTTAGGATTGACAGCGTCACAGCGTTTGGGTCATCATAAACGAGACTGTAGGGGCCTTCATAACTACCTATACTATTTTGGGGGTTCCTTATTGTAATTAAAGTATAATGGGCCCCAAAAATCCGATTCTACTTGTTGAGTGGTTGTCAAAATTAGGGTCCCTTTTTGGGTTCTTTATATAATTCGGAACCCTTTGCTAGGATACCCAAAGACGGACCCCAAAAATGACAGCCACCCAGGTGTAGTCGGCTTTGGTGGGGCTCTCGGGGGCCTGGCCAAGCTCACAGCTTCGCCGCGGAAGCGCGGGAGTGACCCCCCCAACAGGATCCTGGTCACCACCAATAAAGGCTTAAATCGAACTCTTGTATAGGGTTTAGGGTTTAGGGTTTAGGGTTATAAAAACCCTAAAAAGCCCAAATCCCAATCAAACTCTATGCAAATGAAACCTTTGTGGGGCCCCATATGCTCTCCACCGCCGTAGCTCCTGCCCGCGGTCGGCAGAAGATGGAGACAGCTCCTTGCACGGGCGAAGCCCTAAGGCAAACCCTAACGAAGGGATTGGCCTACAGTAAAAAAGCGGCTGTGGAGTCTCTAGGCGGGGAGCAAAACAAAGGACGACAGAATATGTGTACACATGCGAGCAATAGAGCAGTGGACTGCGGAAGTTCGTGAAGCCTCGCGGTTCAGAGCATCTGCGTGCAAGAGTTGGGTCTTTGGGGTATGGTTTGCCAGAAGTAAAATATTGTAGGAATTACTATCCCGGAGCCTTCGTACAAGAAACATTGAGGGGTTCAGGCTTCAGGTGTGGGGTAGGGTTCAGGGCAGGTTAGAAGGTTTAGGTTTCAGGGCGTCGGGCTTACTATAAGGGCCTTGATAATTAGAATAGGGTTTTGGGGTCCGTAATAGTATAAATATAATACGGAACCCCCAAAATAGAATTGGTAATTATTTAGACCCCTATAGTAGCGAGCCCCAGCCCCTTTCTTGTCGGCCTGCCTGGCCGTCTGCCTGGTGCCTTGCCAGGTCCAACTCCGCCTCATGCTTCCCGAAAGCTCGCAGTCTGTCTTACTGTCTAGGTTTTACATTTGAGGGCGTTTTAAGCAGGGTTTTAAGTTTAAGGTCTTCTTAACAGCGCTTTAAGTTTAAGGGTTTTTTTACAAGCTGGGTTTTAAGTTTAAGGGATTTTTGAGCAGGGTTTTAAGTTTAATGATTTTTTAAGCAGGGTTTTTAAGTTTAAGGGTTTTTTTAAGCAACCCGTTCCCCAATAGAAGCTATGGAGGGTCTCACGACCAAGTGGTGTAAGGTTTAGGTGTGGGATTTTGGACCCCAAGGTTAAGCAGTCAGCACAGGAGCTCGGGTGTTTAGGACTCAAAAACTGTTATTAGTCTTCATGTCGTGCTCGAACTCCATAGCTGCGTCAAGCCAGAAAGCCGGTCCTGCAAATCCTAAAACTTAGGCTTTAGGGGTTTAGGGTATCGGGAGCCAGGTCCAGGGTGTCGGGTTTCAGGGTTTACGCAAGGCACGGCCGTCGTTGCTGCCCCGCTTGGGCACGCAAGGTCGGAAAGTTTCAGCCCCTGATCTGGCCCTGAATCTCTCAAGCACCACCGTAGGGTCGAAACCGTACCATACCTCAACGCTGAGCCCCTACCGTAAATCAAACCGCTAACCCAACCATGTAAACCCTAACCGCGATGCCGAGGCCTAAACGTCGAAGCCGCCCTTGCCTAACCCTAAACCGGCAACGGCCTTGAGAGCCAGGGTGGCTTTGGCCTTGGTTAGGATGTACGAAACTTGGATATGCACATGGCGGGTTCATACAGGGTTCTATCCGTGGAGGGTTTCGGGCTTGAGGCACAGATTCTAGCATGTAGGGACCCGGAGACTCCAAAACCCCTTAATTAAGGAATATACCTTAAATTAGAATAGGATCCCTACTATGGTTTAAGGTATATTCCTTCATTGAAGGGTTTTGGAGTCTCTGGGGACTCTGACAGTCTGACTTTCAAAGCCTGCTGTGAAAATCCGAGCGTCCGCAGCTGCCAACTCGGCCTGCAGACCCGCGACCTGTTGCTGAAGGGCCTGGGCCACCAAGGGATTCCAGTTTTCGGGGTATAGGGCTTAGGGTTTGGAGTTTAGGGTGTAGGTCTAAGGGCTTAGGGCTTGGAGTTTTGGGTTTAGGGTTGAGGTGCTGTTCGAAGCTCCTTGTTCCGCCTGCTTCAGGTCACCCCTGCGCGTGGCTCTGAGGGTTTGGGTGTCAGGGCTCACAAATGGGTGTCAGGGCTCACAAAATTTGACTTTTTTTGAGTTCCGGGCATGTATCAGAAAGACAACTTCGTGTCCGCACACCCTGGAGGACGAGGGTCTGAATATCTAAGGAACATGCCTGCAGAACTTTGAAGAGGACTACTTAGAGGTTCATGGGTAGTTATAAAAGGAGTTATAAGTCCCTCAATAGGGGTTGTAACCACAGTATAACCCCACTTATAACCGCTCATTGAACCTCCAGGTATAGTTTAGAGTTTACGGTGTAGGCTTTAAGGTTTGGGGTATCTTTCACTTCTGGAACCCGAATTACTGGATGTAGCAACGAAGACTCCGAAAACTCCCCAGAGCTGCGCACAATTTTCCTCTGCAAAATATTTGGGCTTGAAGACTTAAAGGTCAAAGTGTAAAGTTTAGGGCTTAAGGTCTCAATGGCCCAAAACCCAAGGAAATAAAGTTGAAACTTTCAGAATCCACTGCCTTATAAGAACCCCAAAAGTTGAAAAGTTCAGTTTACAGCCAATAAGAGGTTTAGTGTTCTATACTAGGCTCAAGTCAAGCGGCGCTTTCTCTGCACTGTGCCACCATCAGGAGGTGCTTCGTCTGCGCGCTCGGGCCGGTCAGATTTTATAGGTCATTAACCCAACCCCTAAACCCTAAACCCAAAACCCAAAACCCTAAACCCTAAACCGACACCTTGAACGCCTTGATGCTCCGAGCTGTCAAAGTCTTCTGAATCCTGAGGGCATTTAAGTTTAGGAGCTCTACGTACCCTGGAACTCCAAACCCCAGACCCTCAACCCTGTCCCCAAACGGTGGACTGACTCACCCCTACGGTTTCCTGCAACCCTGAAACTCTGACGCCGAAAAGCCCGAAAGCCCAAAAACCCTCAAGGGGCGAAACCGAATGCCACGAGCCATCGAGGATGATACCCCGAAAACCCTCAACCCTAAACCCTTAACCCTAAACCCTAAACCTTGAACCCGCAACCCTAAACCCTAAGCCCTAAACCAAAGCAGCCTCCTCGAGTTCCTCGGCGCGACTGTCGCCTCGGCCAAATTTCGGCCTCTAGGTCCTAGGGCCCTTAGGGTTTAAGTTTAGATTCTGCTTTTTAGGGTTTAGGGTTTAGTTTCGGTTTAGGGCTGAAGTTTCGATTTTGTGTGTTTAGCGTTTGGGGTTTTAGGGTTCTAGGTTTCAGTGCCACTTTTAAAATCCAGAACTTTAAACCCTCAAACCCCAAACGCCTGAACCCTAAACCCAAACCCCCCAACCCAAAACCCCCAAAACCCCCATGGCTCAAACCCCTTAAACCTTGAACCCCCCTAAACCCCAAACCCCCAAACCCGAAACAAACCCCTAAAACCCCCAAACTTAACACCCCAATACGGTTTAGGCTAAACCCTGACAAATCCTGTATAGGATCCCTTGAAGGCACCCTTATACGGTTGATGATATAAATCCTGCATTACCCATAATAAGGAATATACCATAATTCCCACAGTTTAGGGTCCTTAAGGTAATGCAGGAGTTATATCAGATAAATCACCAACCGTAGGATCCCTTTTATAGGAACCCCCTAAACTCCCCCATCACCCCCAACCCCTGGGCTTCCCCACGCGCGGGCTCGGGAGCCGACGCCACCCTGGGGCCAAAGGCTCTCACTTCACTGCGTCGCACTTTGGTTTCGGGTTTGGGGTTTAGGGTTGAAGTCTTCAGGTTTAGGGTTTAGGGTTTAGGGGTTAGGGTTTAGGGTTTAGGGTTTAGGGTGTAGGAGTTTAGGGGGTTAGGGTTTAGGGTTTAGGGTTTAGGGTTTAGGAGTTTAGGGGGTTAGGGTTTAGGGTTTAGGGGTTAGGGTTTAGGGTTTAGGGTTTAGGGTTTGCTGCAAGATCGCGTAGCGGTAGTGCAACAGGGATTGTAGGATTTATTAGCGGTTTTGTTGCCTGCGAATCGCAGACATGGCCCGACTGTGGCGGGCCATCACATTACTCACCCACCCCACGCCGTCTGAGGCGGCAAACCACCCAAACCTATACCTTTTAGGGTTTAGGACCTAAACTCTGTTAGGTCCATGTTTGTTAACAACAACCACACAATTCTGCAGCCAAGCTTCTGCTCAAAAAAGGGAGGGCAGAGGAGGGCAGAGTACGGCAGGAGGTGGGCCAGAGGAGGCCGGGAGGCCAAAAGGCTAAGAAGGAGTGTCAGGGCCAGGGGGGGGGGGGCCAGGGGGGGGCCAGGGGGGGCCAGGGAGAGCCGGGGGGGGGCAGGGGGGGCCAGGAGGGGGCCAGGGGTGGTGGGGGCGGCAGGAAAGACGGAAACGCAAAAAAAGAGCAGATTTTGTCCAAGGACCAGCCAGGAGGTCCTGGAACTCTGCTCGCTGGAGCTTCCAAGCCCCCCCCGGGCCAAACCAACCCAGCCCGCCCAGGTTTAGGGTAATGAACGTCCCGGTACCGGGCCTAACGTGCAGGCCGTGCACCGGGTAGACCGCCCGGTTTATGCCCAGCATCGCGCGGCTGGCGTCCACTAGCTACAGTACCCCTGTCTGTGGGACGGCGGGCGAGCGTCCCGGATCGACCTGCGCCATCGATGTCGAGGGGCTTAAGCGCCGCCCACCATCGAAGGTGGGCGGCCTAGGCCTTGAGTTTAGGAGTTTAGGGGGTCAGGGTTTAGGGTTTAGGGGTTAGGGTTTAGGGTTTAGGGTTTAGGAGTTTAGGGGTTTAGGGGTTTAGGGTTTAGGGGTTTAGGGGTTTCGGGGTTTGGGGTTTGGGGTTTAGGGTTTCTCTTATGTGCGGTAACGCCCCTTTCTGCAAGCGACGCAGAAAAGGGCGTTACAGCAGGTCTTAGGGTCTAGGTAGAGTTCGAAGCTGTTGGGTTGAAAAGGCTAAGGCTCAGGGCTGTTGGTTTCAGGCTTTAGGAAATTATGGCGCAGGGGTTTAGGTCCAAGGCTTTCGGCCTGATCCTAAAGCCCCATAACCCCAACTCTAAACCAGTTTAAACCTTTCAATGGTCCAAGCAGCTTCTTCGGCGACGAGTGCTCTGCGCCGTGCCCCGCTGCACCTCAGGGTTCAAGCGCTCACGGTTTAGGGTTTAAGGTTTGCGGGTTCAAGGGTTCACGCACTTGGGGCTTCAGCTATGAAGCTTTGGGCGTTGGAGCTTTGGGGCTTGAGGCTGTCCAGTCTTGAGCCTCGGGGCGTCGAAGCATTTAGGGTTTACCACTGCAGCAAGTGCAAAGATCAAACTTGTCCCAACCTCTACACGGCTTGAAGAGCCCAGATTTGTCTAAACCTTAAACCCTATAAACCCTAAACCCTAAGGGACCAAAATCTGCAAAGTGCAGGCTCGGGGCCATGGGATGGGCTGCCGTGACTGCCATGGCCGCCATGGTCGTGATCCTCGCAAGGGCTTAGGGTTTAGGGTTTAGAGCTTAGGGGTTTAGGGTTTAGGGCTTAGGGGGTTTAGGGTTAGGGTCCCCCAAATTTTCGAAACTCCTCGCAATGACTATGGCCATGACCGTGGCCATGACCGTTGCCATGACCATGCTCCTTGTCAGCTGTCTCTGGGCTTGAGGGCGTTGGGGTGCTAACGCTTCAGGGCTACGTGGCTTTAGGTCTGAGAGCTTTGGGCTCACAGCGGCTCAGCAGCAGCAGCAGCAGCAGCAGCAGCAATGGCAGGAGCAGGGGACAGGAGTTGTCTGAGACGATTTGTGGATTGTTGCTGTTATTTGTGCTTGCTGCGAGGCAGACAGGAAGTACTGCCAAGCTACCATCACAAGGTTCATTCAGCTTCAGTGTATGGGTGCTGCTTCGTGTAGGCAGGAAACCTGTTTGTTGGATGTTGGTAGTCATGACCGTTCGGATTGTTGGCAGGAACAGAAGGCACTATGCTTATTCCTGATAATGACACTGGTGATGACAGCCCTTGTTGTGCACGTTACACCCGAAGTCCCAACCCTTAAACTCAACTCTCTATACTCTCCTAAACCCAACTCTAAACCCTAAAGCCCAGACCCTAAAACTTACAATTTCCTAACTTACGCGCGCGCTTCACCACTGGCAGCAGCACCTCGGACTTGTGGGTGTGGTGCGCTCTTGCCGGCCTGGCATCACACCGCTGGGCTGTGTGTTTTGGATTTCGGCTCTAGTCTCTTTTAGTTATATATATATATATATAGAGAGAGAGAGAGAGATACATATATAAATACATATATATATATATATATGTATATAGGGTCACATTATAAGGTTTGGGGCCTCGGCAAATGTCGATTGTCTCCAGTTTTAGGGTTGTTGGTTGTGCTGCTTCTGGAAGCAGCACCATGCCACAGCTCTCAAGCCAGGGCTTTTCATGTGGGTGGTTGTCAAAATTAGGGTCCCTTTTGGGGGTCCTTATATATAATACGGCACCGAATATTTAGGGTACCCAAAAAGGGGACCCTAATTTCGACAACCACCCATGTGGAATTTGGAGGTTGGAGATTCGGGCGTTGAATCAAGAAGCTGTATCTTGAGGAAGGAATCGCTGCTCAGAATGAACCCCCAGATGTTGCCTCAGAAAGCCCAACGCCCTTCATCTGACTTACGCCGGACTCCTCAGTTGAGGTTCACTGGGCACCCTGTGACACTGTGTTCTATGCACGAAGCATGCGTCTCATCCACAGGAGCCAAGAAAACACATCCCCCCTGCCACAGCGCCCACCGCCCGAAAAGGCATCACTCCTACTTCTCTCGCAACACAATCTTGTGCACGCGCCTGCCACAACTGAAACTCGAACTTCTGTAAAACCGGCCCAGTCGTTTCACAATCAGCCCGAAGAAGCATTAAAGCTAACGACAACCAATGGTGTCAACACGAATAGCAGCAATAGTATTCATACTAGTCGTGGTCCTCCTCTCCCTCCTCGATGCAAGAACCACCACCATTTTCATTTCAACTCAGCCTCCCAAAGCCCTAAAACCCAACTCCCTAAACTCTAGATGCCTCACAGGTCGATAAAAGCGCGAGAAGGAGCTTGCAGCCTCTTCAAGGGTAAAAGAATATGGCCCATTATAGGGTAGGGGTCCCCATTAAGGGTCCCTCCTTTCCCCCTTTGAGCCTCTTCATCTGGGCCCGGAGGTCAGAGAGATGCTTCATCAACTCGTGAGCCTGCCGTCCGGGCGGAGGCTTCGCTTGGGGGCGCTGGGGGGGGGGAACTGCCCTAAACCCTAAACCCTGAACCCTAAACCCTAACTCAGGGTGCTTCGGGATAGGGGTTTAGGGTTGAGGGCTTTAGGGTTTTAGGGTTTAGGGTTCAGGGTTTTAGGGTTTTAGGGTTTAGGGTTTTAGGGCTTAGGGGTTCAAGGTTTGGGGTTCATAGAGCTTCGGGTTAGGTTAGGGTGTAGGGCTTGGTGTTTGGAGGAGAGAAGAGGGGTGCTGTTGGTTCAGCAAACCCTTTGCAGGGAACACGAGCCAGAATCTTGTTTCGTGAAGGCAACCTCCATAGAGACCAGATCCACTCACTCTACTGACATCGCACCACCGTAAACCCTAAACCCTGAACCCGAAACCCGAAACCCTCAACTCAGACCCGGAGCCATGAAATCCTTCATTTATTCAGACTGTCGAAGTCCTGGAGTGGGGAAACCCAAGGACCCCAAAGCCCGAAGCCACACAGCCTTTCTTTTAAGGGCTTGAGGCTTTAAGGATCAGGGTTTGGGGTTTAGGGATTAGGGTTTACGGTTTAAGGTTTGGGGTTTAGGGATTAGGGTTTTTACGGTCTAAGGTTTAGGGTTTAGGGATTAGGGTTTAGGGTTTGGGGTTTAGGGTGAAGCACCCGAGCCCTCTAACATGCCGTGTTGAAATCACAAACCCCCTTTCCTGGCTCACCACACGATCCAGGCGATCGACCTCGCTGCTTGAGCCAGGGTTTAAGGTTTAGGCTTCCAGGGTAAGGGCTCTGGGCTTAGCTGGGTTCCCCAGAAGCCCCAGATCATCTGAGCGGGCACGTTTCAGACGGTCTTAAGTGGGACTTACTATTCAGGATAGTGTAATAAGGTCCCGCATTTTCGGAATCTCCCAAGTGGGACTTACTATTCAGGATAGTATAATAGGGTCCCCCGTTTTCGGAATCTCCCAAGTGGGAGCGCTTCTGCAGCTTGATGGGAGTGGTTTCCGCTCGCCCGCTACAGACGACGAGCCTAAATCCTGAACCCCTAAGCCCTGAACTACCATCACACTACGTTTGTTTACCCCTTCACAATGCACAATAATTTCCAAACGCTAACCCCCGAAACACTGAATCCTGGCACCCTAAACCCCAAACACAAAACCCAAAACACTAGACCCTAAAAGCCTAAAGCCCTAAATCCTCGACCCCAAAACCCTACCTCAGCCCGAAGCTGCCCTTAATTGTCTTATACCTTAAACACTCCATGGCAAACACCAATCCCTGTACACCAAGCTGCCCTAGTTACCTCATCAATCACTCAGGACCCTCTATTTACCAAACCCCACATAGAACCACATTCAAAGAAACGTTTAAAATTCTCTTGGGTTTTATATGAACAAACATGAAAAGAAGAAACTGTAGTTTACCCCTACCTCAGCCACAAGCCCTTCATTCCAATCCCTCTACACTAAACCCTAGGCCCTTTCTGGTCACACCTAAACCCTAGACCCTCTATACTAAACCCTAAACTCCAAGCTGCCCTTTTCTTTTGGGGTTCCTGCAGGATCCGGGTGCTTGTTGGAGGCCGTACCCAGCCGGGTCTGCCACTGCTCGGCCTGGTACCACATCTTGGGTACCGGAGTGTAGGGTCTAGGGTTTCGGGTTCAAGATTCGTGTGGCTTCGGGCTTAGGGGGTTTAGGTTTAGGGTTTACGGTTCAAGGTTCCAGGTTTAGAGTTTAGGGTTTAGGGTGTTGAAGGAGGAGTCCCTGTTTGCACGTGGAGGGGTGCTGTTCTTGTAGCAAGTAACAAGGGTTTAGGGTTTACGGCTCTTTCAGGAACTCGAAACGAGAACCAAAGACATGGAACATGATTCTGACTCCGAGGGCTAAAGGGTAAGATTTAGCTGTAGTACCAGCTTCAAGCGTATTGTTGTCTAACCGCTGTGCCTTGTTGTCATGCGCACTAAGTAGATGCTGTCAAAGGTGTTCGCAGTGCCCATATCTGTCAAGCCCTCACATCACTCACATCCTTTGGAATGTTAGAGCACTGGGGTTTAGTCTTCGTGTTCGGTCCTGCGCATTCTCAGTACGGTGTCAACTCTTGTAGTGTGTGATTCGTGATAACCCAGGTTTGCCCTGTTGTGGTCAGTGCTTTCGTTAGCTAACGTATCAACTTTCATGCTCGTGCTACTCTGCTACTCTTAATCGTATCTTGTCGTCCTCTGCCTGCGCTGTTTCTGCTGTTCTCATTGACTCAACCCGGACAGCTGCTGAGTTGGTTGTATACTTGTCGTGAGGTTGCTCTTGAGCTTGCTCTTGTGATGCCTGCTACAATGTGGAAGTACGATCAACCCCTTTTCAGGCTTTTTCAGGACGGGACTACTACCTGTTAGAGCGCTCGGCTTTTAAAGCTCAGGCTTGCGGGCATTCACAAATCAAGAGCCAACCCTCCGTCGACTCAAGGGGCACACGTTCAGAGTCTACTTTGACCCACCAGAAACCATTGGTTCGTATGGTCTTGCTTTAAGCTCTGGTGTAGATCTTACGAGCCCGTGAACAAAGGTAGGCTTGAGCACATGAGCCCTATCGCCGGATGAAACCCTAGGGCCAAGGGGAGTTTGAAGGGATCCTCTTTAAAGAGATCCTCTACTTGAAGGTTCTTGGGTAGTTATAAGTGGGTTATAAGTAGGGTAACTATAGTTATAACCCAAACTACGGGACTTATAACCCTACTTCTAACTACCAATGAACCTCCAAGTAAAGGGCCTAGAGGTCAGGATTTGAGTTTTATCGGAGCACCTGTGAGGCCTACCTGAAAGCTACCACTTGAAAGAACATTTACAAAGAGATCGAAAAAGGAATCGTTTAGGGTTGAGGGTTTAGGTGCAGGTCCAATACAACCTCTAGGAGAGCTGTGTACAAGTAGACGGTGGTGTTCTAGCAACTGTCTGAGAACAGCTGAAACAGTGGGCCCAGTGCTACTACAGAGGCCTAAATAATTACCTATACCAAACGCTGGTTCCTTGTGATACCATATAGCCCGATTCTAATTATTAACCTTCTAGACCCCTTTGACGAGCCCTATCTAACTGTTAAGGCCCCTATATAACGTATGCTGCACCAACCCCCAAAAATAGGAGTGGCAGTTATTAAGGCCCCTATATTATAGTACCCTTATAGTTATCCTTAAAGGACCCTTTTTAAGGAATCCTTTAAAGGAAGACTTTAAAGGAACCCTAGTCTAACTGTGCTGCACCACGCCTGCTCTTGGTCCTCCAACTGCAGAACCAAGGCAGGGGCCTGAGTCGAGGGACGGAAGTTTTAGGTTTGGGGTTTAGGGTGGCCAAGTGTTCCACGGTGCCTGCGAGATGAAGTATGAAGTAGCCAGACTCAACCCTGAAGTTTTGAAGTAACCCGCGATTTTTTCTTTTTTCGTCGGGAACATGCTTTGAGGCAGGAGAGTTCTAAAAAACTTGAGATGGGGAGCACGCAAGGATAGTTTGGGGAATGCTGCAGCCACCCCACAGCCCACATCACCACACGAGGCGTGAGCCATGCTACTTGCACGACAGCTCGATGCCGAGTAGTACTACGCTGCAGGTTGCTATCATGACTTCTGCATTTCTTACAAGCACCTGTTACTGCTGCTACTAATGCAGTCACGTTGTTGACAGCTAATGCTGTATACACTCGGTTCTTGTGAAGGGATGAAATGTAACTTACCGTGATAAGGAAACCACAGTATTTACTAATTTTAGATCCCTAGTATGGTAACTTAAATTAAACCCCTTAGCAAGAACCCAGTACAGCAGCTAGTGGTACCAGACCACCTGGCCCCATTCTCGCGCCTGCTTCGGAATGACCGTCAGCGTCTTGCCGTCGCGCTCCACCTGGTGGTTCAGGGTTGAGGGTTTGATTGAGGGTTTGAGGCTTGGTCTCGTAGAAGTTCAAGCCATTGTGCCCGACTTTTGAACGCCTTATGGATGGTCTGTTCCAGCCAATGGCCGAAGAAGCTGTGATACGGTGAATCATCCGACCCCTGCCTAAATCCAAGCTAAGAGCCTTAAATGCAAACCAAACGTTGCAAGGCAGGCATTTAGGTCTGCAACGGTAACACCGTACTGATCACAGAAAAGTCTGATGACAACATACGAGCACAATAGCTGTGTCGCCGCTGTCGTCGCAGTCCTGCAGTAAGACTAGTGCCATAACGCGGCCAGGCCCGATGAGAGTATGAAATACCAGTATCATAAGACTGATTGAGCCAACTCATATGACAGCACGGGATAGGACTATGATGTTTCAATGAGCACGTGACCATGCAACGGTGCCGTGATGCAAAAAAACACAATGTCACTCTATAGTGTGACCATGCAGTGTTACAGTACTGCATGGTATCGACAACGTCCACGAGAATCGCACCGTCACACGACCGAATGTAATTTACTACCGTACTTATGTACCTGTCTGAATATAGTCAATCACCATAGCGATGGAACGTTCCTTAAACCCTAAGTGCTTAACCCTAAACCCCTACACCCCTGAAAATGTGCTTGCTCCCAGGCACTCCGGATTAAGAAAGCAACCAGTGGCCTGCGCACCCGCGACAGCCAACAGAGGCCTCAAAGAAAAGGAAACATGACGACTTTTGGCGCTACATGTCTTGGTTTAGTGTCTCGGGGCAAGGGTCGCCAGGGGTTTAGGTCTTTAAGATTTTGGGGCTGTGTATGTACTCGCTAGAAGCATATGGAGTTGCATGTTCTGCTGTTGCATACTTGGACTAGGGTTTCGGGCTGGAGGAAAGAGCAAGACTGAGGTTCTGGCTTCAAAGAGTCACAACCAACCAACATGAGCTTCAAGCTCAAACGAAGTGTCTCACCGCTGTTGCAGCTTCTTTCCAAACGCTGAAAGCAGAATCTAATTACTCCTTCTTAGTGCACCCACAAGTCCAGGTTATTAGGACCCCACAAGAAAGGGTTAAGGCACGGAAGTTGCGGGTGCAGGGTTTAGGGGCTCCTCAACCCCAGACCCCCAACCTGAAACCCAAAAACCCTACAGCTCTAAAGCCCTAAAAACCCTAAAGAGGGAAGTTGAAGCGTTCCGGATTTAAGACCTCTTTCTTGTGAATGCTCTGGAGAGTTTAGGGTTTAGACCTTAAGGAGTTTTTTTTTTGCTAGCTTCTCATGTCTTATGCGGGGTGTTCTAGTGTGTTGCTCCTGGCTTGGGTTGAGGGGTCGAGGGCGCTTGGCCTCGGGTTCCAAGTTGTCGGCGTAACTTCATGGGTGGCGGTCTAGGGTTTAGGGGTTTAGGGTTTAGGACTTTTAGGGTTGGCTTCAGTAGGAGGAGCCCCTCCAAGAAGGGAAGACGTAGGCAAGTAGAACTGACGCCGAGGAGCACCACCGCCGAGACCGCTTGGCCCACCTTCAAGACCTGCTTGAAATTAGTACCCATGGCTCAGTCGAGGGTCCAGGGTTTCGGGCTTGGGGCCCTGAAGATCAGAACAGGTCTTTTCCGGGGTTTGTAAGAATTCTGAAGATGGGACCTTGATAATTCGAGCAAGCTTTAGTGTACATTATACAAGAATTACCTCTCAGGACTCTCATGGGAAACCAATGGTATCCCTAAGCCCTAAAACCCAAGAATGAGAAACCGATCCTCATCTTAAGCCTTTTGGGGCATAGCATTTTGGACGACGGGCCATGAAGCTGGGGGCTAACGGCCTTAGGTGGGTCTACACTAGGACCTAGGATTCCAGGCTCGAGGGCTTAGGGTTTTTTGACAAGGGCTTAAACCTAAACCCTAAATCCTAAACCCTAAACCTCAAACCCCTAAACCCCTAAACTTTAAGGCTCCTAAACCCTAAACCTCAAACCCCTAAACCCCTAAACTTTAAGGCTCTTGGACTTCGGGACTTTGATGGTTCGGTAGGTCTTGGGGATGTTTGGGGGGAGTCAAGGGCTTGGGGTTTTTGGGGGTCCCTGGTCCAGCGGTTGTAGAGCTTGGGGCCTGGGGTTTAGGGCCGGGGTCTCATGTAATTCAAGGCTGAGGATTGAGAGCTTCGGCCTGAGGGCGTGGAACTCCGCCCAAGAGAAAAGAAACCTTCAAACCCTAAACCCCAAACCCTAAACCCTAAACCCCAAACCCTAAACCCCAAACCCTTGACCCTAAACCCTAAACCCTAAACCCTAAACCCCAAACCCTAAACACTAAACCAAAGAACGCAAGAACCCAGTAGTGCCTCGCCATCGAAGGTCACGTACCCGCTCAACAGCTCCGCACCATGGACCTGCCCCAAGACAGTTTGGCTTCAGGTTTCGAACTGTACTTGGAGGTTCATGGGTAGTTATAAATGGAGTTATAAGTCTCCTAATATGGGTTATAAGCATAGCTACCCTCCTTATACCCCCACCTATAACCACCCATGAACCTCCAAGTAGAACTGAGGGTGTAACATGGTGCACTTTAGGAATTTAGGGTTTCGGGCTGGAAGGGCTTGAGAGCATGAGGTGTGCGGCAGGGTCTGGGGTTTAAGAGTTTAGGCCTGCGGGTTTCGGGGGCAGGGTCTTGGAGTTTAAGATTTTAAACTTTTTGGAAGCTGGTGCAGGCAAGGATGTCGATTCGCTGCAAGCTTCTTGGGCGTGCCTAACACACCTGAGTTCAAAGAGCATGTGTCTGTGTGTGCGCCACACCCTAGATGCCAAAAACTCTCAACCCCAAATCCCAAGCCGAACCCCTCTCCCCAACTCCCCGCAAGCAAGCGTAGGCACCGAGTACTCCGTGCGGCTGGCGAGCTGCATGTGCGGCTCCTGCCCAGCCTTCCTGGAAGCCGCATGTCTCTGTAGGTTACTGTCGGGTCTGGGGCTTAACGGTTTAGGACGAAGGTCGGGGCCTTAACAACTAGAATGGGTTGCTTTTGGGGTTGAGTAATGGGACCTTGAGGAATAATGTCAGCGAGAGATCCAGCATCTACCTTAGTGCATTCACAGTTTACGGTTTAGCATTCGAAGCTTGACAGCTTTTTGGTGGTTTTTGGTGATTGAGAGTTCAGTTCAGGGCTCAGGGCGGTATATGAATTGTTAGCGTTTAGCCTTCAAAAACTTCAAATTCAAAAACTGTGCTCAGAGCTCTTGCTGGCAGAAGGCTTGACGATTCTCCGATCGATGCTTGGGACGGGCATGCAAAAGCCTCTTTGGGTAATGTAACCCAGAACCCTAGCCAGTCTAAATACTTGGGCTTCCCGTATATTACATCTCCAGAGCATGTAGCTCAGAATTCTCAAAAGCACTCGGGACTCTGAAGGATCAGGGCTGCAGACTAGCACGATTTGGAATCTCGGGGATGTGAGATCTTATAGATTTGGATTTTGGATCTTCGGTGGAAGGCCTTACAGTTCTGGATTCTCGCGGAGTTCAATATTTACCCCTAAAACTCCCTAAACCCTTAACCCCAAACTCTGAAGCCAGAACCGAAGCCCACGGGACCCGACACCCTCCGACCTCAGCTCCTCCAGCGGGTCTGTGAACCTGGGCATCATCCGCCCGGCCCCCCCCTATGTTCAGTACTCCTTCAGGCCTGAGCGGCCTAGAATTTGAAACAGTGCATCAAATCTGTTGCTGACTCTTGGGGGGGGCGTAATGTAGTGTCTTCTCTGCCCAGAGGCCTGCTTCGTACAAGTTTTGAAGGCGGTCGGAGCTGTCGCTTCTGGTGCTAAGCCCGCAACCCTGACACCCAAACGCCCGAAGCTCTATACCCCGGAGTCATTTCCGATCCTGCTTCTGCTTCCGACTCTTCCACCCTCAGTGAGAATGGAAAACAGACCCTTCAAATCCAAGGATGGGAGGCTGCAGGGTCCTTAAACCGTAAACCCTTACCTCCACGTCCTAAACCCTCAACCCCGAGCCCAAAACGGACGTGGCAACTAATAGATCGAGTGATCTTAATGATTAGACTAAGGGTTCTGGGGCCCATTATACTAAAATTATAACATGGAACCCCCAAAATGGTACTGGTAATGTTTTAGGCCCTATAGTATAGTACCCTAATGGTAACCCTTATAGGACCCTTTTAAAGGTTAAAGCATCGCTCGACTCCCCACTCGGTGCTGCAAGGCAGCGCCGCTCGCATGAGTTCCGGCGTCTCGCAGACCTTCGGTTCGCAAGCTTTCCACGCAGGTACTTCCGTCGGAAACACTTGAACTGCAGACCCTGGTAAGCTGAATCGCTCAGGTCATATGGGATGTGATGGGATGAAAAAGGAAGGTTGTAATGACTTCATGACGCGGATGATCAGGAAAAAGAGAGTGAGGCGGCGGTGGCGGCGGCTCAGCCCTGACCAAGTCCCACCTGCCGGCTGGTCTTCGCCACCAGGTCGATGATGCGGGCAGCACAGTCGGGCGCGTCCTCCCCCAGGGCCTCGCTGATGGTTTACAAAGCTGCAGATGACACTCGAGTCTTTTCCGGGGGCCTAGCACAGCATATAATACTACAGTATGTAACAAAATTTAGCCATCAAATAGAAATATTCGAAAACATGATTTTATGTGGTGTTATGCTGTATCATGTTGTTTCATGTCATACTCTGCTAATTTATGCTAAACAATAGTACGCTGTAACATATATAACAAAATGACATATCATGTCACATCATATCATATGCCATCATATCATACCATATCATATCATTCCACATCATGATAGAATGAAAATAATGTAGTATAATACGATACTATGATCATAAAAAAAAATAAGGTCATATGAAAGCAGATAAGATGATAAGATAATACTCAACAACACACTTGAGTTCTTCGTTCGCTTCCCCTTAACGATCATCTGCTTGGGCCTGCTCAGCAGGTTAAGGTCAAAAGGCTACAACCTAAACCCTAAACCCCATATCCTCAACTCGGAAGCCGCAAGCCCTGGATTTGGGTCTTCGGTCTTGAGTGTGGCGATTTCGGGTTTGAGGTCCGGGGCTTTCAGCCTAAGGCGTTAAGGCTTGCAGGGTTCAGGTTTTGGGTCTAAGGCTCGGGATTTAGGGATCAGGGTCTAAAGCGTGGGCGAGTCCTCGTTCTTCTCGCGCTGGGCATTGAGGAAGGTCACCAGGTTGGAGTACCTGCCAAGGGCGGGGCACAGGTCTTAGGATAGGGGCTTTAGGTTTCCGACAACCCAACCGGAGTGAGAGATCTACTGTAGGGACCTTCGTCATTAAAACCTGATTTTGGTGATACACCGAGAACGAGAAGACTCTTGCGAAGTACTCCGACGCTCTACATCACGCTCCCAAGTCCTTACCCGGAAACTTCACCCAACCTCAAGCTTAAAGCCTGCACCCCGAAGACCTACACCCAAACAAAAAAACAAGCCCAAGGCTTAAATTTCACAGGAGCCTGGAGCTCCCATCCTGGTTTTAGGGTTTAGGGTTTACAGGGTTTCGGATTTAGGGGGGTTTAGGGTTTAGGGGTTTAGGGTTTAGGGTTTAGGGTTTAGGGTTCAGGGTTTAGGGTTCAGGGTTGAGGGTTTCGGGTTTAGGGTTTACAGGTTTAGGGTTTAGGGCACCCCCACTCCTGCTCCCCCTCGGCGCCCTCTCGCCGGAAGAGACAAAAGAACCAAGCTCGAGTTCTTCCAAGGATTTGCGATTCGGTTCGATGGTTTCGGGTTGAGTTCCGGCATTGCCGAGCTATGGGGCTTAGCATGTTAGCAGTGATTGGCAGTGGTGGATGGTGGTAGTTGCAGTACGGCGCTAAAGTTCGAAGGGCACACTGCCACACCCATGGCGCTGCAGCCAAAGGTGGCTGAGGCCGCAACGGCGGCACCCTGCCAGCAATTCGCGAGTTTGGGATGAGCCGAAGACTCAAAGGGTTTTGGGGCTCAGTGTTCGGGATGACCCAACAACGTCCCAGAAAGCCCAACTTACCCCTTGACTAGGGAAGGTATCCAGATTATCGTCAGGACCTCTCTAAAACTTAAGGTGCATTCCTTACTCCAAACCAAAAAACCATACACGCTTGCAGCGGAAATAGAAGCACCAGCAAGCTTCTTCAATTAAACGGCACCGGACTCTCCGGGGATCTTCTTCCTCCCTAAACAGCAAAATTCCAAGACCATAATCATAAACTCTGAACCCTGAAACCCCAAACCCTAGGACCATAAACTCTAAAACCTAAGACCCTAAACCCCAAGACCCCAAACTGTAAACCCGAAGACCCCAGACTCCTAAACCCTAAAACCCGAAACCCGAAGATCATAAACTCTGAAATACTCTAAAATCTCAAACCCCAAACCGGTAGCCCTTCAACACACCTGCGTCCAAAGCAGAGCCTCCAAGGCCATCGGCTCGGAAAAGCAGCGCTACCCTTTCGGGCACCTGGGTTTCTGGTTTAAGGGTTAGAGCTTACGGTTTCGGGTTTTGGTTTCGGAGGCTCCGAGGGTTTAAGAGTTCAGGGGTGGGCGAACATAGGGGTTGGGATAGGCCTTTTGGGGGGTACAGCATGCGATACTCATAGTTTGAAGGGAAGTGTTACACCAACCATGAAATAGAGACCGCTAAGCATTGACGGCTACCCCTTGACCAACGACTGGTAACCCTGAGACGAACCACAAACAGTCCTACAGCTCAAACTCGCGCTTGCAGCCTCAAACGGTTTCGATTCTTTGTCTAGGTCTTCCTTCGCATGCTTTCGAACACCCAGATCCAAACCCCAAACTCTAGGAAGTGAGAGCTTTACAAGTGCGTGGACTAGGTTGATGACTCCGTGCATCCCCCTCCCCAGGCCCCAAGTAGAAACAACAGGTGCTGCGTGGAAGGTGGAACAAACCCGGAGAGACTTAGTGCCGAAACCTTTCTAGACCATATGCAAAGAGAGCACAAATTCTCCTTTTACTCGGCTTGTCCATCTTCGGCATCGACCTCGGCATCGGTTTCATCATTCGGCTGGTCGTCTTCGGAGCTGATGCCAGACAGTGCATCGTTACTCTCCGCGCTTTCCGCATCCGCATCGATTCCGGGGCTGCTGTCGTCGATTTCGGAACTGCTGTCGCTGTCTTGCATTCCGCGGAGCAAAACCTTTGCTTGGTCGATGAGCTGCGGGTCCTTCGACGTCGAAAAGAACGGAAGCACGGTGACCTCGATCTCGAAAGATATTTTGGAACCGCAGGTAGTCTGGAACTCTAAAGCATACCCTGCCTGCAACTGAGAAAACCCCAGGTGTCTTCTCCCTTGCTTGTCTCTCTTGCATACAGAGCATGGGGATGCCGGCCCACCACACGCAAACTTTCCACATGGATCATCTGGGCTGCGGGGCTCCTTCCAACGAGAAACCCATGATCGAGATTGCCTTGTCTGACGTACCCCTTGAGCGGCTAGCGGCCCCAACGCATCAGCTGAGTGCGGGAGGGCTCTCGAGCCATCAGGCAGTCGGAGCTCCATGTACCCTTGCGTGTCTGTGCTCACATAGGCAGTAGACGGTCGATCAGGCCTGTGGAAATCTAGCAATTGTAACCAAGCGAACCTGCGGCCATCTCCCTGCGTGCGATAGCCAGGATTAAAAAAACTTGCCTTCCAAGGCAAAGGCAGGCCGGGGAGAAGTCGTCGAGCGAGTTGAGAGAAAGCTGTCGCCTTCTTTTCCAAGAGCGTCAAGGCTGGGTTATCACGGATATCATCCTCGGGGTTAAGCTCGCTTGATATATCAATCGCCGACACATGTGCAGGCCACGTGTGCCTCCGAAATATCATCATGCTTGGCATCAATAAAGCATCGTTCCACAGGTTTCCAAAACGCAAACTGGCTCGAACCGCTTCTCGGACAGAAGGTACTGGCAGCGAGGTCTCAGGGATTCGCAGGACCTTCCTGCACATGCCCGTCAAACTCCGAAAAGGTTCCAAAGCCTCGCGCCAAGATTTGCACACAGCGGAGCACATGCAGAGGTGCCCCCACAACTCCAAGACCGACACCAAGGCTTCCAGGGGGCTGAGGCCGTAGATGCCTCCGCTCCAGAGCCCACCGGACCAGTCTGCCCGAGCATAGTTGAACAAGAGGTCCAAGACCACAGAGCCGACACTAGGATGTAAGAGCCACGAGGATTGAGTGGAAGGAGACTGCTGAATACTCACTTCTTTGTGAACCTCCACAAAAGGTCCAGGGCCCGGGCCTATCACTGGCTCCCAGTAGCCCAGCGGATCGCCCGTCCGCACATAAAGCAGCTGTGGACCGTCCCACTTTCCCAGGCGCATGTAGGCACGATGGTCAGACAAAGGGTACAGAGCCACAACATCGGCAAAAAGGCACCACATGCCCAGCTCCTCAATGTAAGCGATGGAAATCAGCGTTCCGAGGCTGAACGTAAGATGGCCACGTCTCTGATAGATTCCGTTGCAATCAGCCCATCCCGAGTGCTGGACATGCAACCTTGTGCAAGCACAGCCCGTGAACGCGGCGTCGCCACCCATTTCGTGTGCCGCCGCACTAAGGGCTGACCGCCACTCGCGCATGCATGACTCTGCCGATGGCGACCTGCACGACGCCAACTCTGCGGATCCACGGCAGCAATCGTATTGCTTCCAGGCGTGCTCGGGAACGACCATGCCGATGGGGTAGGGCGTGGAAAGGACTCCTTCGGTCCATTCTGCCGAGAGCTCAGCTGGGCCGACGGTATTCGTGGCCTCGCTAAGACACTCCAAGTAGAGCGAGGAGTCATCCAGGGCTCGGCCCATGAGGCAGTAACGCTCGACCCGTGCCTGGGCACTTGCATCATAGGCAGTCAGATGAAGGTCGTGCACCCTGCCAAGCTGGTGAGGCTTCTCGGTATGAACGATGGAGCCCACTGCATCGATGCTTTTCACTCTCACCGAGATGTCGTGGCAGATGGAGAACTTGTGGCCAGATGGGTGCTCCACGAGGAAGGTCTCGGAGTCGAGCCCTGGCAACCCCTCCAAGCGAACCTGCGCTCCGGTTGGGAAGCGATGACCCGGGGCTGTCAGACAGGTGCCGAACTCTGAGCATTCCACCCGCGTGATGCGGACGGAGCCAGACGCCATGGAGACCCCTCACCTGCCAGGACCTCTCATGCCACAACCATCATGAAGATTATTAGTAACAAGGTCTGTGGCTCAGAGACCGGGTCTTAAATTAAGTTTAGATTCTGATCGGAATGTAGCTGCGTCGATGAGTGCTTAGAGTTTTCGGGTTGAGTTTGGGCTTCCGCGTTGCCGTCTAGTATCGTAGTCTCCACTCAATTTCTCACAAGTCTGCCCCGTGGTAAATCAAGCCCGCCTGATTCCTGAGCCGTTAATCCTGAACCTTAGCTTTGGAAGTTACGCACTGCAAACCCTGAACCTTTAATTACCCCTTTCCAAAACCATAAATGGCAAACGCTAAGCCTCTAAGCCCTCTCAACCCGCAATCCTGAACTTCAAACGGCTGCGCTGTACATATCAGGGCCGAATGCAGCAAGGTTCAAGGTGTTGAGGTCCAGGTGCTAGCGTGAGTCCAACAAGCCGTCTTCAGCCGAAACACGAAACCTTTCAAGAACCTGAACTCCAGCCACAGCCTCTAATCCCTATAAGTCCTAAACCTTAGACCCAAAACCCAAAACCCAAATCCAAACCCAACGCCCTCTTCGAAACGAACAAAACTCTGTGCATTCTAGATTCTGGAAGCCAGGGTTTAGGGTAATGGGGTTTAGGGTTTAGGGTTTAGGGTTGCCCGAGACACCTACCAGCGGTGAGGCGGTGCAGGCCGAGGTCCGGGTGTGTGGGTCTGCCATGGTTGGATTCCTGGAATGACCGGGAGCTCTGTTTTGGCTGCCTGGTGGGCGGCGCTGCTGGATGTTTTGGTATGCTTTCTCCGTCTTTCTCGAGGTGGGCCTCCCACGTGTTCAGCGGCAGCGGGTCTGCCTGGCCAAGCAGTTGGTCTACATGCAGGGTGGTATGATTGGTACGACGGGGGTTTGGCCTCAAATGGTGTCAGGTACGCTTTGTTCATGATGTGCAGCAGTGTGCCGCAGCCCAGGCCGCCTGCACATGTCTTTGCCGGTTGGCAGTTGGATTTTGGCTACACTTCGTCAGAGTACTTCCGGAAGCAAAGTCTCCCTTCCTCCATCAGCGGGTGGCGGCATCTTGGCGTCCTGCACACCTCTCTATGTGGGCTCTCGCTACTTTGTTGTTCGAATCGGGCGCATCGGAGACGCTTGAGCTGGGCTACCCCGAGGACGTTGCAGCGGTTGCACCTTATTGGACACGTTGCTTTTGACGTCTGCCTATGGTTTTATACCTGTCATATGGTTCTTTTCTGCAGCTCGGGCTTCGTCGTTGTGGAGAACTACGAACGTGGTTTGCTCATGCCGTACGCAGACTGTGCTTGCGCTCTCAGGTTGTGTTCTTTCGCTGGCTGGTGACATCAATGAGGCGACCTGCGCGATGCGGGGAGTCCCTGTAGCTATGCTCTCAGTTTCTAGCCCCTCCGGCTTGCCTTGCCTAAGGTGGTGGTGTGCCCTTGGGCTTGCGTCCCCTTTCTTTAGGCTTTGGCCAGCAAGTGCCGTTCTGCCATCTCTGCCGAGCAGCACTGTCCCCAGAAAGGTGCAGAAAGGGTTTAGGGTTTAGGGTTTAGGGTTTAGGGAGTGTTCGGAGGTCTACTTTCAGGATTTGGTGGTTTCGGTGACGCAGGTCACATGGGAGTTTCCGAGAATAGGGGACCAAAATATAGTAGCCTAAATAGTAGGAGCCTTATTATAAGGACCCCAAAATAAGGTACCCCAATTTTTTGGAAACCCCCACATGCTCGACGGGCTCTCCGAAACTCTCTGCTCCCGGCCTCCTCGCGGCAAAGCTCTGGCACAAGGCCCACGGGGCCAGGAAGCCCCGAACTCCAAGGAAGCCCCGAACTCGCCGAAAACCTTCGAACCCAAGGCCCTGACGGCTTTGGTGCCTGAGCTTCCCATACCCGAAAGAGTCCGAAAAAAGTCTGAATGCCCTCTAAACCCTGAACCCTAAACCCTAAACCGAAGACCCTCAACGAAACCCATGTAAACCACCGCCCAGTGTGACGCTCGAGCCGGAATCCGCGGGGCAAGGACGGAAAGGTAGACAGAACCCATTGCGTTACAGAAATCCTTTACTAAGCCTTGTATACAGCTTGTGTATTATTCGGTATAGATATATTAGGACCTTAACGGTAGCCCTATTATAGACTCTTCCTGTAAGGGGGCAGTACCTAATATTCAGCCCTTACAGAAACCCTTACAGTAGACAAGAATAAATAGATCAGGATTGAAACAGAATCAAAGAGAATGTTTTTTTCAAACATCGCGGTGCTTCGAAACGGCCCCAGCCCAAGCCCCAAACTACACACGCAAAACTGACCCCCAGATCGCCCCAAGATAACAACAGACCGTTTCGGGTTTAGGGACGAGCCCTCTAGTCCACTGAACTGAAGGCTCAGGGTTTGAGGGTTTTGGTTTGGAGGCCAACATCTTCCGCGAAAGAGACGGTCTTTTCAGAAGCCGCCCTAGCAGACGCTTCAGCGCGAGAGCTTCCGCAGAGAAGCGCATCTCTGCAAAGGAAATCAGACCTGGGAATTTCGGTACTGTAAACAGAGTCTCTCCAGGTCCAATACGGGAGTTTCCGTGAATTAGGGATGCCTTATTGGGGAGTCCTTGCAATAAGGATAACACTATTTAGGGTACTATATTGGGATCCCCCTTTTTCAGGAAAACCCCATATGGTTGAGTATACTTGCCTGAGGAACTAGAAGGTGTTGGGGAATAAGGTCGAGGGTTCAGCTGTTCGGGTTTAGCTTCTGGGGTAGTCTTTTGTGAACCCTTCGCGAACGCACGACGCCCATGGAAAATCCCACAGGAAAGCGCATATGTACTAGAGTACGAAATAGGACTCCATGATATATAAATCTTGGTGCCGATTCAAACTGACTCATGGCTGCTCAAGAAAACAATCAACAACTCCCTGGGCTTCCCGCTGGCCGTGACATGTCGGTTATCTCAGGTTCCTCCGGAGCACCTGCCAAGGTGCAAGGATAGCTACATCCGTGAAGGGCAAACCCCTGCGCAGCTCTCGCTAAATGGGGCAACTTTAAGGTTTTCTGTGTTTAGGGCTTAATTAGGGTTGAGGGTTTAGGGTTGAGGGTTTAGGGTTGAGGGGCTTAGGGTTTACGGGTTCACGGGTTTACGGGGTTCAGGGTTTAGGGTTTACTTAGGGTTCAAGGTTTAAGGTTTCTTGCTTTCCTTTGGCAGAACCCTACAAGTACCCACAATTGCAGTCGTCTACACACCACACACCTGGGCCAAGCTCTGCCTTTAAGCTGCAGTAATATAAGGGCCTGAATAATTGGAATACGGTTTTGGGGCCATAAGTATCAAACTATGATTATACTAATGAATTCCCCAAAATAGTCTGGGTAATTCGTAAGGCCAGTATATTACACTGCATTGACCAGCCTTCCGATTTGAGCACGGGACGGAGTTCTACAGATTTAGGGTTCCTTATTATGATTTCCTTACATGAGTCCTTAAAAGGGTAGGTTATTTGGGGTTAGGGTAAGGCTTACGAGAAGGGCCACCTCAGCTCACGGCAGCCGGAATAAAGGCGTAAGATCATACTGTCGGGGCTTGAACATTTAGTGTATTGGACATACAGTAATAAATATTATGTGTATACATATATATATATATATATATATATCTCTCTCTCTCTCTCTCTCGCATATTCCATATTATACATATTTGAATGTGAAAATTGCTGGGAACCCTGTTGGATAGTCTTGGTACCGACTGTTTGGGCTGGGTTTCTGCATGACCCAGAGTTCTGCGCAATCGCTGCTCCTCCAGGCGACCTCCCCCCCAATGCGAAACATCCCGGAACAGTAACTCGCAGCAGACCACCCTAAAGGAACCCTTAAAGGAACCCTTCAAAGGAACCCTTTAAAGGAACCCTCAAAGAACCCCGACGTAAAGTTCCGCGCCGCAGATAGCCTGAACCCAAACAGCCGACCCAAGAATCCCAAAGCCCCAAAATCCTGAAGCTTCGACCCTAAACCCTAAACCCCTAAACCCCTAAACCCTAAAGAGAAGGCCCTAAACCCCCCCCCCCCCCCCAAACTCGAAGTCGAAAACCGCCTTAAGCTTCGGCCCCCAACAACTCTTTCCTAGTTCATTGTTGGGATAGGATGAAAAATGTACATTTTTATTCCTTATTGGGTTTAAGTAACCATAAACATGTAAAATGTTACCCAACTATGACAAAGTTTTCCAAGGCCGCGGCATCATCCCCGGCCAGCAGCTGCTGAAATGCCATTTTTCGACTCCTGGCCTCATCTTTGAGCCCATTAAGATCTGGGATTTACGGGCTTCAGGGAGGCTTTAGGGGTTTAGGGTCTCGGGGTTTAGGGTTTAGAGGTTTAGGGCTTTGAGGGCTTAGGAGTTCGAGGGCTTAGGTTCAGCGCTTCGGGTTCATTATACTACGTATTTCAAGCCCTAAACTAAACATTTCCGGCCCTGAGCCACTCGCTTTCATTCTTCCATCAAACCTCTACCCTACCGCACTAAACTCTACACCAAAATATGGAATACTCTATGAATCTATGACATGAAACTCATAGGCGTTCATCAAGTCGTCCCATAGCCTTTCTGGCACTTACCTGCGTGGACTAATCGCATCCGTTTTGCTCTAAACCGCCGAAAGCCCTACACACTGAAACCAAAACCTTAACAGCCTAAATCCTACACAACCCTAAAACTCTAAAACCTTACACCGCAACACGTAAAGTCTGAAGCACAGCACTCGGGCCCCCGAACCCGCGGCGAGAGAGGCGCCGTCAAGGCCTTCAGAGAATTTTGGCTGCTGCACGATCGAATCCTATGGGGTACCGTTTAGGGTTCCTCAGCTCGCCGAAACCCCCCAACCCCAAACCCTAACCCTAACCTTACCCTTACCCCTAACCCCAAACCCTCAAATATGCGGCTCAGCTTCTCTGGGGCTCTTGTGACTTTTTTCATCCGACCCACGCAGGCATGGCGCCCGTCATTACTCGAACAAAGCGCGACAGCGAACGGCTCTTTCGAAGTCTCCTTTTCTGCGAAAAAACGAGTATGTCAGGAAAACGCTTTTCGGGTTTAAATGACAAGAAACAGAACCCAGACAGTCCAAAATTCGTCGATTACAAACTATTCCTCTATCTAACTACAGGAATATGGAGACCTGACGAATTAGTAATGCTATTCCGCAGCGCTCGCTAATTCAACGACAGTGTAACATACCCGTTCTCTACGTATTCAGGCCCCGGTCTCTATGCTAGACTCTCACAACGAAGTCCTGCAACACCCTTAAAATGCTGCAGAACCAGTCTTCTTCGATTTCAGAAAATTCCTTGAATTGCGCTTGGGGTCGTCAATGCAGGAGAATCTTTTACGGAGATTTGTCAGGCAGCTCTGCCGGGCCTCGAGGCGACCAGCAGTGTTCCAGAAGCCACCACTTACTCGCTCTTTGGGACGTACCTGTACTTGGAATGTATGTTCTGTCGATTTGTTTTTCGCTCGTTCTTGCTTTCCTGTGCTCTTCATTTCGTCGTTCTTTCTGTCTGTCTTTGTTACTTCGTATCTGTCTGCCTGCCTATCGGTCTCTATTTTTGCATATCTGCCATCTACCTACCTATCTGCCTATCTTTACCTGCCTACCCAACTAACTATCTAGCTAGATGGCTATCACTCTCTCTATCTCTGTCTCTCCATTTCTCTACATCTCCGTCAATCTGTCTATCTATCTATCCAGCTAGTAACTAACTATCTGTGTATCATCTATGTCTCCGTATCTGTCTATCGGTCTGCCGACCTATCTATCGATGCGTAAATCGAGGTATCTATCGTTCTATCTATCGGTTTACAGCTGTTCATTTACCTATCCATCTACAAACCAGCTTTCTACTTGTCCATGTGACTGTCTGTTCAGCGGCAGCAGATTTGTATACATGTAGATACATAAGCACATATATATATATATATATATATATATATATATACCTTTATGTACTTTTGTACACGTTTGCAAGGTAGGTACTGCCGGCATGCTTGCAGTACCATCAACATCTACATAATATTCCTGGGACCATCCTGCCAAAGCATTCTGTCAAAAATTCGCGAAATTTAGCTATCTGTTTTAAGATTTACCGAGACCCTAAACCGGGGCTTCTTCTTCATAGGTCCTTCGTTCGAGTAACCCGGGATCTCTGAGATGCCCCTTTTCTAAGTGGCCAGGCAGAGTGAAACGAAAGTTTTTCAAGAAACCGCCGAGACGCTCGTGGAAAGTGTCGTTCTCCGGTGTTGCTTCTGGCGGAGTTTCTTCCGCCAAAGTTTGGTTAAGAGGAAACCTGCTTCAGATGCAGAAAACGACTTTCTCAGTACAAAACGACATGTATGTCTCTCGCATCGACGCGGTCCGCGTAGTAAAAATCTGACGAAAATCCCCAGAGCTGGGGGCTTAGGGGGGCCGAGACTTGAAATAAAGCTCCTTTACGGCTCCTTGGAAGGCTGTATAAGGTTTTCTGCAAGGGTTCTACAGTAAGAAAATGAGGATAGGGTTCTGGGGTATAGCACGTAGATCGTGATTGGTGTTCGGAATTTCCTATTTGGGATACCCCTGCGCAGAACGACTTTTCTATACTGCTAATTTTTACTTGTGTTCAACTAAGGATCAACACAGCCTTGTGTTGAAACAACTAAGATCAACTAAGCACGCGATTAGCTCACCTTTCCGCTGAACGCCCAGGTTCAAGTCGAAGCTAGCCAAAACTTTCTGATGGACTGTAAGCCCAATGTGTACTTGAGTGCAGACATGTATTTTTGTCACGTGTTACATACGCACTCTTCCTTATCAATCAAGTCCACAGACTGAGCTTGTTTTACATATACATATATTTAAAACATGCTCCTTTCTGTATCTGCCTGCCTGTGTCCTCTCCCTCTCGCCTTACCCACGCCCTGCCCCTCTCCCTCTCCCTCTCCTTGTCCCTGTGCCTCTCCTTCTCCCCTCTCCCTCTCCCTCTCGCCCTTGTCCTCGCCCTCGCCCTTGCCCACACCCGCGCATGCGCCCTCGCCCGCGCCCTCGCTCTCGCCCTCCCTCCCTCGCTCTCTCTCTCTCTCTCTCTCTCGCTCCCCCTCTCTCTCTCTCTCACACACGCTCTCTCGCTGTCTCTCTCTCTCTCTCTCTTCCAGGTGGGAGGCAGGGGCAGCGTTCAGGCCCCCGCCCCGTGGGGTCCGCACACCCGTAGCTCTTGGCAGTAGCAGTAGCAGTAGCAGTAGCAGTAGCAGTAGCAGTAGCAGTAGCAGTAGCAGTAGCAGTAGCAGTAGCAGTAGCAGTAGCAGTAGCAGTAGCAGTAGCAGTAGCAGTAGCAGTAGCAGTAGCAGTAGCAGTAGCAGTAGCAGTAGCAGTAGCAGTAGCAGTAGCAGTAGTAGTAGTAGTAGTAGTAGTAGTAGTAGTAGTAGTAGTAGTAGTAGTAGTAGTAGTAGTAGTGGTGGAAGCAGTCGTAGTAGCAACAATACTAACAATAATCGTGGTAGTAAGAACAGCAACAACAGCAACAAGTAGCAGTCATAGTCAATATGAAGAAAAGAATAGTCATATAGTAAACATAGTGATCCTAGTATTCTAATTGCAATCATCGTAACAAGGATAACAAACAATATTAACAATAAGAATAGCAATAACAGCAGTAGTTGTAGTAGTCATAGTCATAGCACTAGTACTAGTAAGTAATAGTAACAGTAATAATTAGTACGCCAAGTAGGCTAAAAAGAGAACTTTCACAAAAAAAAAAAAAATTGCGGCACCAACGCGGAACTTTCGCGAAGGCATATTTACCTATGCAGTTGGCCTTTCATATGGTAATGGCTCAAGGAGTGGTAGATCAACTACTATACATATATATCCCAAAAACCGAAAGTTACCTACCCCTCGGTGCAAACAAAAAACAAACCAAGCCACGAGGCTTGTGTTAAGCTCTTGGTGTGGCATGAAAGACCCAAAGCCGAATTGCTAAAACCTAGCCCCAAACCCTAGGCCCTAGATCCCTAACTCGAGCTCCCCGACGGTGAGCGTTCCGGGGGCCGCCCTTCGGCCTCCACAAAATCCGGCTTTGGGGGCGGAGCAGTTTAAAGCTGGCAGGGTCTTTGTGTGGGTTAGTTCTTGGGACAATCCCTCAACCCTCAACCCCACACTCAAAGTGCTTCGGGTCGTGCAGCGGCTTGTAGTCAGGGGTTCAAACCCGCCGCCTAAGGCAGCGTCCTGCTTGTACAAACGCCTGCAAAAACTGCACAACCTACAGAACCCTCTAGCATAGTATGGTAGATTATAGTGTGTTGCTACATTTTAGTCTGCTTTAGGATATGTGCATAGTTTTGAGGGCTCTTCCGCTGCCTCCGCCGTAGAGGCTATTGAGGCCCCCCGGAGTGGATGCCTGGAGCGAGCCAAGGGCTTAGGGTTTAGGGGTTTAGGGGTTTAAGGGTTTAAGGGTTTAGGGTCTCGGGGTTTAAGGGTTTAGGGTTTAGGGGTTTAGTGGCTTAGGGGTTTCGGGTTTAGAGCTTGGTCGGCAGAAAGGGGAAAAAGGAAAAGGGGTCTCGGCCTCTGAGGCTTTGGGGTTTATGATTTAGGCTTCAGCGTCTGGGCTTAGAAGGTGTAGGGCTTTAGGAACCAGGATTGTGGCTTTAGGGTTTAGGATGTAGATCCGAGGATTTCGCGTGTCAACGTGCACTGTGGTATTTTATGGTACATTGTCGCACTAAACCCTGAAACCCACACCGTAGACCCTAAACCTGCACCCGAAACGCCTAGACCCTAAAAGCAAGGTGCACTATGGTCTCTAGCATGCCATGATCATGTGGCATCGTATGCTCTCTGCACCCGGCAAGCCAGAACCACTTCGAATCCTCTCGGATAGTACCCAAATCGTGCAGAAAACCACAATGCTTGAAGCATCTGGGGACTCGTAAGTAGAGGGTCTTGTCTGCTACGAGAGGTCGCAGAAGTTCCGAACTCCCCGTCGAAATGTCACTGATATCAGGGCCTAGGGTGGACGACCTCTTTGCTGTTTTGAGCTTGGGGTCTCCGGACTTAGGGTATAGAGGAACCCTAAACCCTAAACCCTAAACCCTAAACCCTAAACCCTAAACCCTAAAACCCTAAAACCCTAAAACCCTAAACCGTACCAAAGCCTTGCAAGAACTGGGGAGTCCCACCTACATCATGCTGGGCGGATCCGGCGACTTCGCAAGAAGCCCATAAGCAAAGGCATAGGCACCGTAATCCGGATTATCCGAAACCCGAGACCCCAAAGCCTAATAGGGGTTATCCTGAACTATACGGAACCCCTCCAAAACATTCAAAATGGTATAAACTATACTGAATCCCCTCAAAAAGATTATCCTAGACTAGACTGAACACACCTCAAAATGATTTTCCTAAACTACGCACCTCAAGAGCTTCCCCAAGAAAAGGTGGGTTTTTGAGGCCCTAACGCGACTCCGCGAGGGCGACGCAGGGGCTCCCTCAGCCAGGAGCTGAGGTTTTAGCGGTTCTTGATTTTGGTTTCCGGGGTTGGGGGTTCAGGTTTTGGGAGTAAGGTGTTTAGTGATTAGTGGTTTGGAGTTCAGGATTGAGATCAGGGTCTTCGGTTTAAAAGCATGCCACGGACTGTCCTCAAATTCTTCAAAGGGTCCGTCTGTGGTATCTTGAGCATGGGAGACTGACATCTACACTGCCGGTAACCCATGGCCTCTGAAAGCCCCAGGATCTGAACCATGAGGCTCTCACGCCCAGAATCCCAAAAACCCGGCCGCGAAACCCTAAAGCCCTCAGCCGGCTCACCCCTTAGTACAGGCACTGCACAGCAGACCACAACAGCCGAATGCCACAGCGCATCATAGAGGCCTTAATCGCTGGGAGACTGTCTCAATGTTCATGGTGGTATGAGGATAATAAGCAACCCTAAGGCAAACATTGGGCAATTGTGCATTGAACTTAAGTTACGTATCATAATGAGGATCTACAGTCAGAACAACGGTTTCCTGATTTTGGTAATGCATATTTAGTTTCTTAACCCTATACCCCAAATTCTCCGCCCAAGCCCTAAATCCTAAACCCTAAACCCTAAACCCTCAAGCCCAAGCCTAAGCCCGAACCCAAAGAAGTCGGGCCTCAGTCGACAGGGGGCGGCGGACCTTCGAAGATACCTGCTTTCGTTGGGGTTTACGTTTTTCGGGGCTTTCATGGACGGTTTGGGGGCTTAGGGTTTATGAGTGGGAGTGAGTTCGGGGTTTAAGGTTTTGGTTGCGTTTTGGGATTTAGCAGGTTCTGCAGTAGCTTGGGAACTTAAGATTTTGCAGCCTGTGAAGTTTTTTCGGGGCACTTGCGACGGCCCGGTTTAGGGTTTAGGGTTTAGGGTTGAGGGTCTAGGGTTTAGGGCAGCCCAATATAGAACCCATGCAAAGGGAAGGCCAAGCTGCGAAAAGCTCCAAATCACCCTAGAGTTCAGAGTTGAGGGGGCTTGGGGCCTTATGCAAGCAGTCTGTTCAAGCTTTAGGGATCTGGGCTTTTCTGGCTGTTGGGAGAAGCGTTCGGGGTTAGTTTACCGTAGATTGCGCTCAACGCCTCAATGCCACACTCTAATACATTGTTGGACCGTAGACCCCAAACCTGAAAACCCTCCTGACAGAACCCGTTATAGTACCCTAAACGCTAAACCCCTAAACCCTAAACCCTAAACCGTTTAGGGTTTAGGGCTTAAGGCAGCAACCCTTGTAGTTGCCTCTGCCTGTGCAGCAGACGTTCGCTCCAAGCTTTTGGTCTCGCGCCGGGCCTGCGATAGAAGGCCGCAAAGGCTTTGAAGCTTTTGTGAGTCTTACAATATGTCAGGATCCTTACCAGTTTGCCTCCGGAACTTGCTTAACTGCCCCAACCCGCAATATGTAATGTAAGCACCTACACATAATGTTGCATGTGTAACATGTGTATCCATAGAAATGTACATATACAGTTGTACATATACTCGCACATGTACTTGCGTGCGTGCGGTGTGTACGTGTGTGCGCATGTTTGTTTGTTTTGTGTGTTTGTGTGTTTGTGTGTTTGTGTGTTTGTGTGTTTGTGTGTTTGTGTGTTTGTTTGTTTGATTGATTGCTTGCCTTGCTTGTTTCTTTGTTTGTTTGATTGTGTGTGTGTGTGTGTGTGTGTGTGTGTGTGTGTGTGTGTGTGTGTGTGTGTGTGTGTGTGTGTGTGTGTGTGTGTGTGTGTGTGTGTGTGTGTGTGTGTGTGTGTGTGTGTGTGTGTTGGTGTGTGTGTGTGTGTGTGTGTGTGTGTGTGTGTGTGTGTGTGTGTGTGTGTGTGTGTGTGTGTGTGTGTGTGTGTGTGTGTGTGTGTGTGTGTGTGTGTGTGTGTGTTTATGTGTTTGTGTGTTTGTGTGTTTGTATCTTTGTTTGTTTGTTTGCTTGTTTCGTTGGTTGTTTGGTTGTTTGGTTGTTTGTCTGTGTGTGTGTGTGTCTGTGTCTGTGCGCGCGCGTTTGCGTGTGCATTTGCATGTCCATCTGTATGTGCATGTGGATGTGCATGTTCGTACGTATGCATGCATGAATTCAAGGATGGATGTATGTATTTACGTTTGTCTGGCATATACGGGAGAACATACACCACAAATACGTACGCATATGCATGAACACATACCTGTGTGTAAGCAACTGTTTACACAAACATGTTATATACGTTCGTCCATGTCGAGGCATATTCATATGGTACATTGTTCTCTGATATCACATGACAGAAGATGAGATGTTATCAGAATTGGTTGGCAGTTCGATGTGCTGATTCACAATGTCACAAGGTGATAAGTGCACAAGAGAATGTCAATGTATGCATGTGCGTGCACATATAAACTTACGTCTACACATGCGTATACGTATGCGTATACATATAGATATACACAACAATATACAAACACATATACACATATGTATATACATACACATATACCTACATATACACATAAATGTCCATATACATGTACAGGTACATGCACATATACATGTGCATATGCATATACAAATACATATACATATGAGTGCATAAATACATACACATATACACTTACATTTACATGTCATGTACTTATACATACACAAATACGAAAACATATACAAGCACCCATGCATACGTGTATACATGCAGTTTGCTACGTATATACGTATACATGTAAATACATATGTACAAACCAATGTACATGGGTATACAGGCAGATACACATATACATGAATACATTATCTACGCATAAACATATGCATATACTTTTATATACATATAAACATAGGTACGTGTATACACATATACATATAGCGACAGAACAAGGCACAAGAAGGCCTCCTGCCGAGTGGGGCTGGCCTGGACAAAGGGAACGTGGAGCACCGCCAAGTCGGAAAGGCGTGCCTCTTCAAACCCCCCACCCTACTTGAAGGTTCCTCAGAAGGGTACCTTAAAGGACACCTTAAACGGATAATATGAGGGTTACCTGTAAGGTAGGGGTTTACTTGGAGGTTCATGGCTAGTTTTTGGCGGGGTTATAAGTAGGTAAGAGCGCCTGGTACGTGACCGGCGTTTTGTGGCATAGCTGAAACAGGCAATGTGCTAAAACCTAGGGAAAACGTGTATTACGTGCTAGGAGAGGCGGAGAATCCCTGTGACAGGTTGATCGTTTTAGCGAAAAAGGTGTTGCCACTGCAGTAAAAGCCACTTTTGCGAGCACCGCGCTGCGCAAACTTGGTCTGAGTGGACGTTATTATGGTTGACCCATGGATGCTCTGCGTCAATGAGATCTGGTCTGAGTCCATGGGCGTTAACATGGTTGACCCACGGATGCGCTGCGTCAATAACATGGACCACCCATGGATGGTTTGGGCGACTTGGGTTGTAGCAAGTGCCGAACACACCGTAATCACCGGTGTGTTCGGCATATGACCCTAAGGAAACATGGCTTCGATCAGAACTAGAGCTTGGGCCTGCCTGCGACAGAAGTCCGCAGTTCTGGGAGTTGAGGGTCGGGACTGGCCGGAATTAGCCCCCCCTCCACCCCCCCAACACCCCCACCCCCCACCCAAGAAAGTGAGAGGACGTACAGGACGCACACCAGGCGCTCTCACCTATAAGTAGGGTAACTCTCGTTATGACCTACGACCCATAGTGAGGGGCATATAACTCCATACATAACTACCCAAGAACCTCCAAGCAACCCCTGAAGTCGGAAAGTCACAACAAAGCAGCGGGTGCAATTCCTTATGGTCCCCAAACAAGCAAGCCTGGACTCTAAACGCTGAAACTCAAACACCCGAAAACCCTCACATCCTGAAGCCCCGCCTGAGCCCTAAACCCTCAACCCTAAACCCTAAACCCTACACCCCCAAAGCTCTATCTTGCGTTTGGTTAGTAGGGAATGGAGGAGTGGGGTACAATTATAAATTATAACTACTATTACTACCGTTCTTCCTTTCCCTACTAACCAAAGGTAAGCTATGCCGAAAGGCCTGCTCCCGCCGAGGCGACGGATCCTTCCACATGGGTGGTTATCAAAATTAGGGTCAGGGTTTAGGCTTTAGGGTTTAGGGTTTAATAAGGACCCAAAAGGGACTCTAATTTTGGCAATCACCCACATGAAAGAAGCAGCGCACACTTTTGCTGTGGAGGCCTTCATAACGAGAATAGGGTTTAGGGTTCTTTCTAAAGGGGTCTATAGGGGCTACAATAAGGTATCCAAAAGGGTACTATAGTTTAGGGGGCCTGAATAATTAGAATGAGGTTTCGGTGCCCATTATACCATATTCATAGTAAGGAACCCCAAGATAGTATAGGTACTTATTAAGGGCCCCATACCATAGTACCCTCATAGTAATCCTGACATGTAGAACCCTTTTAAAGGAACGTTATTCTTAAGGCTCCCATGCAGAGGGGCGGTGTAAAAAAACAGTAGGGCTTGGGTTTCAGGGTGAAGGGTCCTGGGTTCAGGGTTTAGGGGTTTAGGGATTTAGGGTTGAGGTTTCAGGGTGAAGGGTCCTTGGTTGTGTAGGGGGTTTAGGGTTTAGGGGTTTAGGGTTTAGGGATTAGGTTTCAGGGTGAAGGGTCTTGGGTTCAGGGTAAGGGTGGGCGTGGTAGGCTTTGATCGGGGCGATACATGAAATTGACCAGAGGTCCCTTTGCCTCTTTGCGCCACCTGTGAGAACCTTCCTTGTAGTGAGTATCTTACGGAAACCCAAGCGGTAATATAGGTTCCGCGAAGGGAAGTCTAAGGATCTGGGACATGCATACATACACATAAATACATGTATGTGTGTATAAAAATACACACATATATAACGTTTAAACTGAAGTTAGGAAACCTAAGGAAGCATATCGGCAATTCTTCCGACTCCGACAGTAACCGCCGGCCGGCGCCTCTCTGCTGCTCCCTCGCTTGCCCGGCTGCTCCTGTGGCGACCCCAGGCTCCGGCTTAAGGTATACTAGCATTGTTCTCACGAATACTGCTATTTTTTATTGGTACTACTATTGTTGTTATCACGAATATTGTTATTTTGATTGGCACTACTATTACTATTTCTCTTGTTGCTATGACTATTACTATCACTATTGTTATGATGACTGGTATTAAGATTACGATTATGATTATCTTTAGTACCAAATCCTGACCCTTTGTCCTTGGGGTTTTCGGGGTTTGGGGTTTAGGGTATAGGGTTCCAGGGCTTCGGGGTTTCGGTGTTCTGGGATGCTAGGTGTCTCCACCGGTTGACGGACCTAAACCAACGTGCTTCCAATGTCATTGGCATGGACGAAGGTTGAGAGTTTCGGGCAGGTGGAAACAGGGAGGACCCAAAAAGAACTGCATATGATTACACTTACCGTCATGACTTCGAACTTCGGGTGTCCGGGCTTGTACACCAGTCCCGAGCACCTCTTTCGCCGGCGAATGGCTACCGGACGCAGGCGTGGCAGACTCTCCAGGCAAGGCCTGCAACAGAACAGCAAGGGATCACGACTTCCTGGGCGGTTTCTCTCGACAACCACGCGACAATGCCATCAAGCATTGCAGTCTCCAACCGAAGAAAACAAGACACTGCAACCCGACTGCGCCTGGTTTGGAGCAGAGAAAAGCGCCGATGCTTGTTCCAACACCTTCGGAGCACACGAGAGACTGGAGAAGCAACGGAGATCACTTAATAATAACAAGAGTACCAAACATACTGGTGATGATAATAATAAAGTAATGAAAGTCTATATTAATGATAATTGCATGACCGGGCGCCCTGCAACAGCTGTCAGCCTAGGACAGCCCTTCTTCCAGCGATGTCGGTGCTGTACATGTCCACCGTACGCCAAACAGGCGTCATCGTCTTTACACAAACTCTACACTGTACATCCTGTCTTGCGTGGAAGCAGATAAGGTAGTGCAGCGTGGCTCCAGCAGGCATGTCTGCCCTTCCTCTAACTCTGAGAACAGCGGCTCGCACGTTGAACCGGTTTGGCTGATCCTTCCGGAGAGCTGGGACCTCGACTGAGACCAACAGTTCACAGTTCACAGGTCCTCCAACTTCAACGAACTCTTCGACATCGGTTCCAGGATGGAGCCATCACGGCGCAGGAGGCAGAGAGTCCGCAAGCCCGGCCTTGACAAAAAGCAGAAGTCATCGCCTGCCTCTTCCACTACGGGTACGAGTAGGGGCAAGAGAAGAGGAGGAGCAGTAGTAGCAGGCGTAGTAGTACTGGAGGATCTTTAGCAGTAGTAGTAGTAGTAGTAGCAGTAGCAGTAGTAGTAGCAGCAGTAGTAGTAGTAGTAGTAGCAGTAGTGGTTGTGGTCGTCAGCGCCGCGGCAGCAGCTGTAGCAGCAAGACCCAGCAGGAGGAGGAATACTACTGGTAGCAGCAGCGGAAGCAGTCATAGTGGCAACAGTTGTGGCAGTCGTGGTGGTGGTAGTAGTAGAAGTAGTAGAAGTAGAAGTAGTAGTAGTAGTAGTAGCAGTAGTAGTAGTAGCAGTAGTAGTAGTAGTAGCAGCGGTGGGTCGAAATCGCAGCGTGTAGCAGTTAGGAGTGGTAGTTGTAGCAATCGTGAGTAGTCGTACTCATCATTGCATTCTTTGGCCAAAGCAGCTGTATCGGACTAGTCGAAGCAGTCGTAGTGGTCATGGTAGATGTAGTAGAGGTGGTCGCCGTCGTACGAAGTGGCCGTATCGGCTGTACTAAGCGTAACAATCGTAGTAGCAGTTGTTGTTTCTGCAACAACAGGAAAATAGCAGCTTTTGTGCTTTCATGGCTGCTCCGTGTCTGGTCGCTTGGCGCTTGCACTTCCACTTCTTGTTCTACTGATCAGTGGTTCCTGCAAAGATTTTCTGTGTAGGCCCGATTTTCATGCCGAGTGACAACGTGATCAATGGTCGAATGCCCAGCTCTGCCGACACCCGGCTATAAACATCCAAAGGGAGCATCTCCTCTCGCGCTCTGCATGTGATTGCGATCGTTACTAGCTCCATGACTACCAATACTACCACTGCCACTTGACACTTGACATCACCATTGCAGCACTATGACCAACATGACTCCTGATTGCCACAAATATCACTGGCATGACTGCGAACACATGAACGAAAACACAAACAGTCCGTGAAGACTACTAGCACTACTAGTACCACTCGTACTACGAGCACAACTCGTACTTCTCATACCACCACTACTGCTAGTACTACTATTACTAGTACTAGTACTAGTACTAGTACTAGTGCTAGTGCTAGTGCTCGTACTAGTACTAGTACTAGTACTAGTACTAGTACTAGTACTAGTACTAGTACTAGTACTAGTACTAGTACTAGTACTAGTACTAGTAGTAGCACCAGCACCAGCACTAGTCCTCCTCCTCCTCCTCCTACTACTACTACTACTACTACTACTACTACTACTGGTACTACTCGTACTACTGGTACTACTGGTACTACTGGTACTACTAGTTCTAGTCTCAGAAACCTCGTCGCAGACTATCGACTTAGTATGCTATCTTGTCTCTATCCTCAGTACAACCAGGTCGTGAATGCGCATCTTCCGGATGGATTTGTGTCATAAAACGCCCAGGCGCCTCAGGGCGCGCTAGGCTAGTAGTATTACTAGCACTACCAATATATCTAGCACTGCTAGTACTTCTAATAATTCAGCACCAATATTACTAACAGATAACGCTACTAGTACTACTCGTCTGCTTGTCGTTGATGTAGTTTGGCTTCCGTCCTAATGCTGCCGGTAGTTGCTACTTTGTCTACTCCTATCGCTGAGCTGTGGTCCTCCAGATCCTCCTGCGGCAAGGTCAAGACCTCCTTGCCTGACAGACGATTATGACTACTTTACCCTAAACTCTAAACCCTAAACCCGAATTACAATTACTACTATTATGGGTGTCTGAGGCCGCTGGAGCGGTCGAAATAGTGCTCAAGTCGTTTCGGGCCTAGGGCCTTCACTGTTTAGGGCTTAGGGTTTAGGGCCCCGAGACCCCCCCAAAACTGTCAACTCTAGACCCTATCAATACCCGAGTCGAGTCCCGAACAAGAACAGGCTTGGGCTGGGGTTTGCGGGGTTTGTGGTACCCATAAGCATAAGACATTAGAATGTAACATGATGTGTGTGTATATATATACGATATTATGCTACACTATAACATACTTTGATATACTATATCATATTACAATATTCTCCACTGTATTATGTTAAATCGGACTATGTTAGATTATCGTAGAAGCCCAAAAGTTGGAAACCCGATAGCCTCGATCCTTCAGAGCAACTTAGAGGGAACCCCAGCACTATTTGGCCTTCATCCTACTGTATATTGTATATGAGTTTCGGATTCCGCTTCTGTTCTCGGCCAGGCCTGCTATCGTGGCCACAGACACAGCGCCCTTTCCTGCCACCTCCTGGGACACCCCAGGCTCTGGACACAAAAGCAGATACGCTACGTTTCATATTATGTATATATATGCGAATGAATATAATTACATACATATATGTATGTACATATAGATATAGTTTATATACATATATATATATACTATGTAATGCACCCAACGATGTTTTCGGATTTGTTATGCAATAGTACGAACACTGCAATATAATGCATCATGAAGCCAAAAGCTGATCTGAAACCTCGATCGGTTCACGACTGGCAACAAACAATGCAACGGAGGGCGGGGATGCAGAGCAAAGCTGCGGAAGGCATGAGTTGTGCTGGCTGGGGTTCGGGTTTAGGGTTCGGGTCCCAGGGTTTAGGGATCAGGGTTCATTGTTTAGGGATTAGGGTTTGGGGCTCAGACGTGGTGGGCTTTAGGTACCCTGCGAGCTCAAGCCCCTAAACCCTAAGCCCGAAATCCTAACCCCTCAGCCCGAAACCCTAAACCGAAAACGGGTCCGAAAACCTGCACCCTTCTGTTGATGCCACGGCTCCCGGGCTACCTTTGCTGTCGACGACATGCATCAACATGCTTCGTTGCATGCATATGGGGCGCAAACCCTAAGCCTAATCCGGTATGATATGGTTTGATAATATAGAGTTTCATAGTAAACATGGTACCATGTATTGTATGAAATAATAAAAACGTAACAAGAAGGAGCCACAGCTGGTCGCCAACCCAACCCTAGAGCCCGGCCAGTCCTTGCTTGACGCAGGCAACATCGTCAAGACCTCTCTAAGGGCAGTGAGATAACTCGCTCTCATGATTCCGGTGTTAAGGTTTAGGGTTGAGGGTTCTTTTTTAAAGTGAATATGCCTTTGACTCCAAGCAGGAGTCAGGGTTTGGGGGGGGGTGTCGGGTTTGAAGTTTAGGGCATACTGGGCTGTTCTTATATTGCCTTGTAAACTGGGATAGTAGGCGGCTTTACATGGGGTTGAGGAGAATCTACAAACGATGTTACCATCACAGCGGCAGCATGTTACCTAGAGCTATGTCCTTCCCGAAATACTGGGACAAGATCAAAGTTCCTGATGATCTAGGACTTGGGCTTCGGATGCTTCACCGAAGCCTCCAAAGCAAGGCTCTTAAAACCCTGAAAAACCAAAGCTTCGAACAACGAAACCTAAGAGCTAGAAGCCCAAACACACGAAAGGCTGGGCCCAAAGCCTTACCACCCTGGATCCTAAACTACGTGAGCTCCGTTTAAATCTTCACCCAACGAAATTCAATACTTCTCCTTCGGTATCAAGGGGAGCACTTGCTCTGAGCGTTCAAGTCTGCCTCTATAGCACCTCCTATTCCTGTAATGCCAAGCCCCCTAAACCCGAAACCTTAAACCCCAAACCTTACACCCCAAACCCTAAACCCTTTACCCTAAACTTCTGAACCCCAAAACCCTCAACCCTTTAACCCTACACTTCTGAACCCCAAGCCCTAAACCCCAAACCCTTTACCCTAAACTTTTAAACCCCAAACCCCAAACCCTAAACGCCCCAAACCCGAAACCCTAAACGCCCTAGGCCCTTTACTTTGTAATACCCGGCCTGGGGCCGAATCGGACGGACCGAGAAGGCTCTGGCTCGATACGACGTTGTGAAGCCGTAGACCTTACTTGGGGCTATAGGGTTTAGGGTTCAGGGGTTATAGGGTTTAGGGTTTAGGGTCCAGGAGTTATAGGGTATAGGGTTTAGGGTCCAGGGGTTATAGGGTTTAGGGTTTAGGGTCCAGCAGTTACAGGGTTTAGGGTTTAGGGTCCAGGAGTTACAGGGTTTAGGGTTTAGGGTTCAGGAGTTATAGGGTATAGGGTTTAGGGTTCAGGGGTTATAGGGTTTAGGGTTTAGGGTCCAGGAGTTATAGGGTATAGGGTTTAGGGTCCAGGGGTTATAGGGTTTGGGGTTTAGGGTCCAGCAGTTACAGGGTTTAGGGTTTAGGGTCCAGGAGTTACAGGGTTTAGGGTTTAGGGTTCAGGAGTTATAGGGTATAGGGTTTAGGGTTCAGGGGTTATAGGGTATAGGGTTTAGGGTTCAGGGGTTATAGGGTATATAGGGTTTAGGGTTCAGGAGTTACAGGGTTTAGGGTTTAGGGTCCAGGAGTTACAGGGTTTAGGGTTTAGGGTTCAGGAGTTATAGGGTATAGGGTTTAGGGTTCAGGGGTTATAGGGTATAGGGTTTAGGGTTCAGGGTTCAGAGGTTGT